CTTCTACCCCGCCCCAGTCCTCTCTCCCATCCCCCAAATCCTCTCTGCCCCTCCCTTCTACCCCTCCCCCTATCCCTGCCCCAGTTCTCTGCCACCCCAGTCCTCCGTGCCCCTCCCCCGTTTCCCCCTCGCCCCCCCCTTCACCTGACCCTGCAGAGCAGCCTCCCCACCCGCGACGGGTGCGCAACGAGCTATTCCCGAACCCGCTCTCCGCACCCCCGGCTGCGCTGCTAGCGTAATGTCACCATGGCGGCGGTACACATACGCAAAACCCCGCCTACAATTGCACCTACCAACCGGCTTCGGGAGAGACAGGATGTCGGGGGGGTGCAGGCGAATGGGACACTCCCTCCTAAAACGTCCCCCGCCAGTCTGTGTGGTACCTTCCAGCCTGGGGGAGCTCTCCAGGTGCCCAGTGCTGAGGATGGGGTGGTGGGTGCAGTGCAGGACAGAGGGAGATGGGGGGGCAGGGAAGAGGGAAGGGGAAAAGAGGAGTTGATGGGGGAGAGGGGAGAGAAGAAGGAATAAGAAAGAAAGGAGAGAAAAAAGGAGAGAAGCCCATATAAAATGTAAACCCCTTCAAGCCCTGCTCCACCCTCTCTGCCCTTGTCCCCTGCTCCCGCCACCGGATCGGTGTCATTCTCATATCAAACCTACCTCTGTCAAATGGGGACAATGAGACTGAGCTCCTTGGTAGAGCACGTTGAGATCTTGTCATGCAAAGTGCTACATAGGAGCTAGGTATCATTCAGTGACCTGGGGTGAAATAGACCTCAAATATGAGGATCAACATGACAATTTTTCTTGTTGAGGGTCCTCAGGTTGCCATGTTCTTCAAATGAATAGGAGACCGTCAGGCCTGAACTTGGTCTCACACCAGGTTTGAGCTGAGTTACTCCTGACATACAGCTGCTGCAAGACCAGAATCAGACGCATAGAACCTGATCTAATTCCCGGTAAATCAGTGGAAAGACTCTCCTTGACTTGAATGGAAGTTTTACTGGGCCCATAGTCCCCAAGCAAACCAGTTTTTTTTTTCCACATGCGATGAGAGCTGTTTCAGACCATTCACTTAAATACAGTCCTGGGGTGAGTGGTTCAACTCATTCCTGTCCCCACTGGCACCATGTGTTGGACTGTATTTTGCTGTTGGTCTGAGTTTAACCTCTGATATGAAAGCCAAAACAAGACCATTTCCCATACCCAAGAAACCATGTGATGCACTGTCAGACCGATTAAAATTAGTGGTTAAAGTTAGTATTCTTTGTGTGTAAAATATTTAGCAGGATTTAAAAGCATAACAGGCTATATATGCTTCTGTAGCCTTGGGTTTTTCAGAGTATAGGCTTATTATTTTCAAATGAAGCAAAAAAAGCCCACAACACAGCAACAGGCCTAATCATTAATGATGGCAAATTTGCACATGAATGGAATACAGGAAACAGTAGAAAAGGCTCATCTCTTAGATGGTAAACTATTGTAAAAATAGAATTACATTTCAACAAGATCAAAACCCCATTAAGAATATGGTAAATTACCATTACTTCAGATGTGATCTGTAATAGGAGATTATGTTGTTGGGTTAGATTAGTGGGCCCATTAGTTCAAATCTGCTGATACTTAGTAGTGCATGTAATTAGAATGATGTGGTACTATATGCATATTATAATTTACTTTCACTGCATGGACCTAATGGTATTGTGGACAGCTAAGGTGTTGGTGCTATCAAGGTGATTTAGAGTCAAGCTTTTGGATGAATGATCTAGATTTAGTTTTGTTATATGTCACGTTACTATACAACTCACCGTTTATATCAAAGACAACAACAATGGCTCTGAAGTAGTACCATTCTCTGGGGTCCCCAGTTCATCTGTTGCTTTTCTAGGTCACTCACATGCTTAACTTTAGTTATGTAAATAGTTCTATTGAGTTAAACGGTTCTCATGTGAGTAAAGTTAAGTAAGTGCATGAGTGTTTCCTAAAATTGCAAACTCTGAGGCAGGGGCCATGCCTTTCTCTGTCTTGTACAGTGTTGGTGCTTAAAAATAATAAAAGTAGGGGAACAATTAAAATATAACGTTTACACAAGCCCAAATGTCATTGTTTGTTTATTACATCCATTGCTGACTACTTGATTGGTTATTGCAACATAATGGAGTAGGCCAGAGCCAACCTCCTTAAACAATTGGATTATTAAAGTGTGAGATGTACGCGCTGTTTTAAAGCTGAAGAATGCTAAAAATAACTTGTATGCCAGTTACATAGCTACTTGGCACTTATTTGTTCAATATTTTGAAGATGATCCAGAAGTGAAGAAATCAAATACTTTTCATCTGAGGATAGTGCAAAATCAATATTTCTTGATGGATTTGATTGGCTTATTTGTTGTAGGATGTAGTATGGGAGTGTTCCTATTATTACTGAGTTAGTACTTTTTTCTTTTCTGTGGTCTTATCAGTGAACCTGTTTTATTGGTATGTATGTACTGAGGCACTACCAAACTATTCTTTAAAAAGAAGAAAGACATTAAGTTTGTACATTAACACTTAAGTTTGGTTTATTAAAAAAGTCACTCTGAACAGCCAACTGAGTTTAAGAGAAGCAACCAAAAGGTTCACCAATGAAAACCATGAACTAATAAAATGGCAGAATTTGAGCACTGCTACAAGCCAGGAGGAAAAGTAGAAAACTGATACACCAACCCTTGCAGCTAGAAACAAAACTTCAATTAAAAGTATCCTTAATCGTCCTTGACAGAAGCATGGAATGTGCATATTGTATCTATTTAGGCTCTTATATGGTCTCCATCAGAACTGTGGTGTCTAAATGCCTGAAGTGCTACTCTACTTTAAATAAAGGAAATAAACATTTTTACAATAATGACAAACCACATAAAGTGCATTCACTTGACATTTTAAACATGTAAAGGAACTAAGAATACTTAAAATAGACTGCTATTCCACGACCTCAGTACCAACACTGTCTGATCTTGCAGTCTTTTCCGCACATAGAACTATCATTGAAGTTAAAGGGGTACTGTGTGCCAATGGAACTGGAAGATCAGGATTTGAAATGTTATTCGTTATGAAACATTTTTTCACAAACACCTGGCTTCACCATTACAGAGCATTTTACAAACCATCAGTTGTTTATGCTCTTTCATGGTTTTGTTTAAATATTAAACAATTCAGGTCTTATTGTTAAACCAATATTAGAACTTGCTGGAAACTGGAAGTCTTTTACATTGGAGTCCACACAGCTCTTGCGTCAAACATGAAGTCATTTTCCAGCATTAAAACCATATTACTGCTAACAGTAATGGCAGTGACAACTACGGCTAGTCAAAAGTCTGTTTTCCTCTCGTTACCTGTGATGAGAAGTGCTATCATATGACATGAGCAAAATGGGTGCAATATTCTTTTAAGGATTACCTTAAATCTAATTTCATAGCCTGGACTTAATTCAGATCTGCAATTCTCACTGAAGTGTGATTCTGTACTAAAAAGTTACTAACCGTGACAGTGTGGGGTTCTGTAGTCATTGTGTCTCATTGGTTTTCATATCAGATTCACTCAGTCTGCAAGTGAAAATTGTTTTTTCAAACAGTCCCACAAACTCATCCTGGGCCCTGACAGCTCCACCAGTAATATAGATCTGAAGGCCAAATTGTACCCTCAGCCATGCCTGTGTTACCCCATTGTCTTCAGATCATGCCCTTAGTAACATTTATGGAAGGCCTCAAAAGGCAAACGACTGCGGAGACAGGGCTAGTAGCTGTAGGTGTCATCGTCAAGCACTTTACAAACAACTAGTTAATTCTCACAACTGTCTTGTGAGGCATGGAAGTAGTAGTATCCTGCTTTTACAGGTGGGTAACTGAGGCAGAAATGTTTGAAGTCAACAGGAACTGCAGGTTGCTCTGCACCTCTAAAATCACAATGTTTTTATTTCATTAACTAAATATTGGTTTAAGTGAAATATCGTTAGATGCCTAACTTTGGGCACCCAAGTTCAAAAATATTAGCGGTAAGTGCTTTCTCAGAAATTCCTGCCTCCCAGTCTCATCGTTAGACAATGCATCTCAGGAGGCTGCAGAACTGTTGCATGAACCTCTCAGTAATTTTGTATCTCGTATTATGATGGCTGGTTGTGCATTCCATTATCAGGACCCTCGCTGCTGAAATGACTTGCTCTGGTATATGTCTGATCCATTTATGAGACCCATGAATTAAATCTGCTGATTAAATAGCTAATAGCAATGCATGCATTGCTAATAGATTCCCATGAGCATCTCTTCCAGCTACCTCTTTTTAATGTTAACACGGTGATCCAAACTAGAATCCAGATTGAGACCAGCCATTTTATCAGGCATTTGTTCCTCTGTTTGAAATCCTGCTGTGATGTTGATTCGTCACAGACTGACAGTTTTACATACCATCAGATTAGTCACACTATAAATATGAGAACACTCCATATTGACTCTGTACATAGTACAATGTTGCCAGCGCTTCCTGACTTCTATACATCCGTTTCTTTTCCATATGCCAGCCGTTTCCCAAATGTTGAAACAGATCTTTCTTCTGAATTCGACTTTATTGTTCCTGCATATCCTTCAGTTACGTATTGCATAGTAGGCTTCTGATTGGCAACTGGAAGACAAATGCATATTTGTTGATGTCTTTGTATAGACTGAGGGGGTTATTTTGATGGAAATTCATTCTTGCTACAACATTACTGATAAATCCAAAAGAGATGGTTTATAGATATTATAGTGACAGGAGCTCTAGCAATTTAAGAGTGATTGAGCTTGTGGTCAAGAAAATAATTGGTTCTTTCTACTAAAGCTGGTTGAAATACTTAAAATTTTGCAATAAAATCTTTCCCCTTTTTTTGACAAAAAATGTTGGATTTTTTTTTCCCTCCCTCATTTTTTTCTACCAATTATGGAGCTGATGAAAGTTTGTCAAATGTAAGGTTGACATTTTAAAAAAAGAATTATTTTATTTCAAAAGTGTTTGCAAATTTCCCTGCCTTTTTCGACTAGTCTGACTTTTTAGCCATAAAGCTGCATGTGTTTATATAGATTCTAATGGTACAGTAGGAACACACTTTACAGCAAGGTGTCCCACAGAGTTTTAAAATGCAGCCCACAGCTGGCTCTTCCTGTAACTACAGAGAGAGGACAAAGCTGATGAAGTGCAGGTGTGTTTTGCTGATGAAATCGGCAAACAAGCAATTTCTGATAATCTAACAAAGGTACAAGACCCACCAAATATTACACATGTGCATATTTATTTGATAAACATTTATGTAAATATTCATACATCTTAATGCCAGGGGGAACATTACAATCATCTAGTCTCACTTCCTGCATAACAGGAGACAAGGAACCTTACCCAATAATTTCTGCATTGAGCCCATGATTTGTGTTTGAACTGTAGCATAGACTTTAGAAAGACACCAGTCTTGACTTAAAGACTGCAAGTCATGGAGTATCCATCACGTCCCTAGAGAAGGTGTGCCCCTTTGATTCACGGCAAGCTGCCAAGGAAGTTCTTGGTGTCTTGAAATTTGGGTAGCCCCTACTTTGCAGCATTTTACCACCTGCAATGTTTTGGAAAAGGCAAGGTCTTATCTCCTTACCCTCCCTTATCTGTCACACCTCGTCACCTCCAAATAACTAATAATGAGTTTAGAGGTGAGCATTTGTCATTTATAATATTTGTGAACATGAACATCTAATAAAAACCAAATAAAGGCTGCAATTTTTAAAGACACGTATGGGAGTTAGGTACCCAGCTCTCTGAATTCCAATGGGATTTGTACAATTAACTATTAAACTCCTTCAAAAACCCAATCAAAAGCTTTAAGCATAAATGTAATCTGTAATGGGTTTCCCAATTATGGTGAATGTGAGAGATGGTTAAAAATGGTCATGTGTCTGCAGTGGGCATTGGGCCTATTAAGAAGGTTTGACTAAACTATATGATTGAAGCTTAAGATTTGCAGTTTGCAAATCTTTCCTAAACAATGAGGTTGGCTTGAACCTGGTTGGGTTGAAGTCAGTAGAAAAACTCTGATTTCAATGGGATCTTCAATGGCCTGTGATCGTGGTGGTAGCTTACCTTGTCCATTCTTCTCAGGGGCTTGATTGTCTTCATTAGACCTGGATTTGTAACTCTCCAGTGTCTGCTCTGAAGTGTCATTTTCTGTGCAGATAACAAATGCAAATAAGAAGTTGCAGCTTTTTTCATACATTTGCCCACCCTGCTATCCCCGCATGACCAAATACTGAACTAGAAGAATATCCAGTGGTAAGAGGGCAATTCAGTCCTCGGATTGCCAAAAAGGAGCTGATTAGTGCCAATCCTCTTGTCCATTGAGGTTTGGCTTGAGACCACCAATCGTTTCCCCTTGGATCCTGAACAGCAGTTTGTAATAACTTTCAGTCACCACTGACACAGGCTTGATTTTAACCAATGACCTAGATATGCAAGGATCCCATATCCTGTTACCAGTCCCCTTAACTATCCAGTCCCTCACACCCATCCTAAACATAGACATTACTGGAGATTTAGATCGTGGGATCACTCACCTCTCTTCCAGACTCTGTGTGCTTTTTGCAGCTTCCTCATGAAGAGCAGGACGATGATGAGCATCACAAAAATGAGAACCGCTACCAGGACTGGCAACAAAACACTTGTTTGCCTTCGTCTGATTCCTTCAGAATTAAGATCTGTTTCTATAAAAAAATATTTTTAATATAGTTAGGTAGCTACTACCTGCGATGTTTAGCTAATAAGGTGAGGACTGTCAATTAGAGAGATTGCCACGTGATCGGTTATGAATGCCGAGGCCTGTTCATCAGAAATAAAGGAGCTGACAATGTAGATAATGTGAGATCATTTTTAAGCCTAATGATTAGATTGTTCTTCAAGTTTGTGTTTGAGAACATACTGGCCACAAAAGGGGCAAGTTGACAATACTGGAGACTGGTTTCAGGCTCTGAGCCAAAATCCGCTGTAGTCTTTTCATTGAGTTTAGTAGTTTATTAGAGAAGAAATACATAGGAAACAGCAATGTAAACTTCCCCATCGTTGACATGGAGGAGCCAGGACAAATTTTCTGCTTGTGTAAAAATGGGAAAAACTCCACTGAAGTCAGTGGACCAGCAGAGAATTTAGCCCAATGCCTCTAGATGCTAATATTGTTTTTGGTCTCCATGGGTCTCCTATGAGATTCTTAACAAGGGCAACCCTATAGTGTCCTTCATGGTGGGTTTGGTGATGTAGACACTTGGCTGCTGGTAACCAGGCTGACTTCAGGAAGGCCCATTTCATATTTAGTGTTAACAAGAACTTACTGATGGTGGCATTACAATTCAGAGTTGTTTCTTCATGGCTTATTGATGGTTCTTCTGTCCCAGAGGTTTCTTCTGCAACGGTCACATTTAATGTCGTTTCAGATCCTGTAGAAATGAAAAGTGTTTCTCTGATTAGCCCAATCACAGTCACCCAGATTATTTACACTTTGCTGTATTAATTCAACATTTAATGATTCCAAGGAATATATATATGGGCCGGCTGGTTTAAATTGGGATAGCAATAGTGATTTCAATGGAGCTATGTTGATTTACATGAGTTGAAGATCTGGCTCTGTATTCTTTAGGTGGTATTAATTATAAAACTGAGGGTTTCTATCCTTGCCACAGTGTAGAAGGATCAAGCAATTAAGCCTCAAAATAGCTCTCGTAGGTTTGCAAGTGTTGTTTCTGTTTTACAATTGAGGAAACTGAAAAACAGCAAGTTAAGTGAGTTGGCCAACATTACAGTGTGATCCAGTGTTACAAGTTAGTTTAGAATTTGAGTTCCTGGCTCCCAGCCCCGTGTTCAGTTCATTAGATTACCATGTTATTCCATCATTAAGAAATTTACCAGTGGTGATGTTGGAGTTTTGAGTTGATTGTTCATTGCTTATTGCTGGTACATCTGTAACAGATGTTTCTTCTGTGACGTTCAAAGTTCTTTCTGGCTCTGTAGAAATAAAAGTAGAAAATATTTTGACTTCCTTATCCCTTTCAGTAGTCTGATCAGAAACCCAAACTATGGACAGACTCAACAAAAATTCTGCCTTACTAAGTCAGTATTTCAGGTCTCTGACAATGTGTTTTGTGGAAACTCTTAGCTACAGTTCTAATAAATGCTATTTAAGGCTGGAGTTTTCAGAAGTGCCTTAGGGCCAAACCTTGATGTTCTTACTCAAAACAAATGGATATAAAATTGGCCATCAGGGAGTTTAGACTTTAAATTAGATGAAGGTTTCTAACCATAAGAAGTTCTGGAATAGCCTTCCAAGGGGAGCAGTGGAGGCAAAAGACATATCTGGCTTCAAGACTAAGCTTGATAAGTTTATGGAAGGGATGGTATGATGGGATAGCCTAATTCTGGCAATTAATTGATCTTTGATCATTAGCGGTAAATATGCCCAATGGGCTGTGATGGGACACTAGATAGGGTGGGATCTGAGTTACTACAGAGAATTCTTTCCTGGGTGTCTGGCTTAGGGTGACCAGACAGCAAGTGTGAAAAATCGGGACGGGGGTGGTGGGTAATAGGTTCCTATATAAGAAAAAGCTCCAAATATTGGGACTGTCCCTATAAAATCGGGACATCTGGTCACCCTAGACTCTGGCTGGTGAGTCTTGCCCACATGCTCAGGGAATTTTCCTCCAGGGCAGATTGGCAGAGGCCTTGGGGGTTTTTCACCTTCCTCTGCAGCGTGGGGCATGGGTCACTTGCTGGAGGATTCTCTGCACCTCGAAGTCTTTAAACCATGAGTTGAGGACTTCAATAGCTCAGACATAGGTCAGGGGTTTGTTACAGGAGTGGGTGGGTGAGATTCTGTGGCATGCTTTGTGCAGGAGGTCAGACTAGAAGATCCTAATGGTCCCTTCTGACCTTAAAGTCTATGAGTCTGAGTTCTTTCTCACTCCTTACTCATGTAAACTCCCGCTGAAGACAAGACATCGTATTCTTTAGCTAATATTAATTATAACAATACTTAGACTTTTCCACCTTCAAAGCACTGTACAACACTCGCTGTAGCTGAGTCTCAAATGCCCAACAGGTGAACATTAATGATCCCCATTTTACAATATGGGAACCAGAATCAGAGGCTGATGTTTTCTAAATCATGACAACATTTGGATGCTTGGTAGGAACCGGATATGGAAATTCCTGAAGCAGCTTTGAAAAGTCTCAGTGGAGCCCTTAAATGACTTGCCCAAGGTAATGCAATAAATCAGTGGTAGACCCCAGATTAGAACTGGGGCATCCCTGCCTCCCAGCCCTGTTCACTAAAGCACATGGCTGCTTAGTTTACAAGGACATTCATTAGCACACATACCAATGGTGCTGTTCGCATTTTGAGTGGCTGGTTCACTACTTGTTGCTGGTGCTTCTGTACTAGAATTTTCCTCATTTACTGTTAGTGTTACTTCTGACCCTTTAGAAATGAAAAGAGAAATGTTTTCTTTTTCTTATACACAAAGATAACTGTACATTCAGAGCATAAATTAAACTCACGTTTGTAAAACAAAATTGGTCTATATGCTGTGTCACTCTGACATTACACATACAGTGGGAGATTTTCAAAGGCAAGGATTCTCTAAGATGTTTAGATGCCTACCTTCTATGAAATTAATGGGAATTAGGCAGCTAAATACCTTTGAGGATCTGGGCCAAATTGCATTGGTGTAAAAAAAAAATAAAATAAACGTTAACTAATTTCCATTTCCAAATCTCTTCCATAAAATAACTATGCATAGCCAGAGAGACCCCTTTAAAGGGTGCAAAGTCTCTCACTGTCAAACAATTCATAGTTTATATAGTGGTAATGAAGCTCCTCCCACCCTCTTTATATCTGGGGACAATCCTGCTGTTATCACTTGAATAACTTTACAGCTTAAGCCTTAAAGTGTGTTGACCATGCTTATTTCCTGTCAGCCTGTGGCACAGTGCCACCTAGTGCATCCATAAGGATAGGTATTAATAAAATCATAGCATGCATTGATGGAACTATGACAATTGATACTACCTGAGGACCTGCCCCCATATGTTTGTCTTCACTACAAAGAGAGAAGTAGAGAGGGCAGTCTCCCTCTATGATGGATGCAATTCTAAAATGCTCACTTGTGTGTAACAACAATTGTGTTTTGTGTTTCAAGTATCGTTGCAACAGCTGGAATATAAATTTGTTCTCAGCAGCATTTCCATCTGCTCTACACATGACATTTTAACAAATTGCCTTAATGTCATTAAGAAAAAAAAATGTACTTACAAATAGTTATGTTGGCTGGTAGTTCCCTCTGCTGGGTCGGTATTGCTGGTAAGCTGGTACTAGATGGCTTCTCAGGTACAGTGGTAGGAAAGTTTGGTTGGCTGGATCCTAAAGGAATATCCACCAAACAAGACATGAAAATCGGAAGACATATTTTAGAAATAAACCCAACCCAGAAAGATGGAATCCAGATCTGAAATTTCCTGAGCTCCAGATACATTTGGCTCTAGGTTTTGATATGGGGCCAGCTATCCATTTTTTTTTCAAAATGATATGAAATAAACAAAAAATGAATTTAAAATTCTTCCCAGTAGAGTGCAGAGGATTTTGAGAGAAGATGGTGTTAATATTTGGATTGGACTTTGTAGCAATCACTGGAAAAGAAGAACCCAATTCTGAACACAATGCAAGTAGTATTCTGTACTATCCCTGAGTATTCTTTTGCAGCCCACATTCTGGGCAAAAGAACTTTACAAATAATTTTATATGATTTGTTTCACAATCATGTAGACACATATAAATAATAAACAAATAACATTGGCCAAACAGTTTGACCAGGATATCGAACCTTTCCCTACTAAGCCCCAGATTGCCTTAATTCAGCACTACTCTACAATTTATATTGTTTAATTTACAACAGTGAAAAGAGTTTAAAATGTGGAACCTACCAACAGTTGTCTGAGAAGAAAAAACTTCCTGTTGGGTACTTGTTGCTAGAGATATGCTCCCAGGTGATGTCTGTATTATAGATTGCAGGGTAGCTTCTGTGGATTCTAATGGAAGAACCAATGCATTAAAGAGAGAACCGTAATAAATGATATTAACGGAAAAAATTTTTTTTTTTAAATCAGTAGCTTTTTATTATTGTACTTACCCATATAATCCTGAGGATGCTCAGAGGTCCTCGTGCTTATTTCTAACACATTTGGAGCTGAGTCTGTAGTAGTCGCTGGAAAACAATAATACTTGGAATTTCCCTAGTTTCTTTCATCTGAAGCTCTCCAAGCATTTTACAAGTGTTAACTGAATCTAACAGTATGTATGGGAGGTAGATAAGTATTAGGCCCATTTTTACAGATGGTAAACAGAGGTACAAGGAGCAGAAGTCCGGTGGCACCTTAAAAACTAACAGATTTATTTGGGCATAAAGGTTTTTTTACCCACAAAAGCTTATGACCAAATAAATCTGTTAGTCTTTAAGGTGCCACTGGACTCCTCGTTGTTTTTGTAGATACAGACTAACACGGCTACCCCTCTGATACTTGTTCTCTGAATGGTAGACCACACCTTCAGTTATGCATATATATCTATGCAAAGAAATAACAGAGTAATTCAGTGTGGCCTAGTGGATGGGGGCCCTGTTTTAGGACTCAAGAGACCTAGGTTCAAGTCCTAGCTTTATCACTGGTTTGTTGGGTGACTTTGCTACTGTGCCTCAGTTTCCCCATCAGTAAAAGGGGGTTGATAATACTGATGTGTGTTGCAACATGCTTTGAGATCTATTCATGAAAGTCACTATACAAGAGAGTGGTATTATTCTTCAAGCTCAAATGTTAAAAGGAATCACCACCAATCAACCAATGCTTAAATAAAAGCTGTTCTTACTGAAATTTTCAAACTGGAAAGATACGGTCAGTCTTTCTCCTCGTAGGGTTTCATGACGAATGACACAACTGGCTGTTGAATCTCGGTTGTATGCATGGACTACGAGACTGCTGGTTGTGTTGCATTTCTTTCCATCGTGTTCAAACTGGTGTTTGATGTCACCTAAGTAGCCATTTGAAGAAAACATTTAAGTGCTTAACCGTCAAAAGCAATTTAATGAAAAACATTCCAGTCACAAATCTGCTTTACTTTTGGTCTGCTAAATCAACACATGAATCCTGAGCAAAAGTGTTTCCATTGTGTAAATGGATCACAGCGGAGCCCACACAGAGCAAAGTCATGTTTTTGACAGAATTGCTTAGTTCCTATCTACACACTACCATGCACTGAAAAAAACCTACGAATTCTGTTCTACTTCACTATAGCAGAATTCACTATAAGCATATAAGCAAGTTCCACACCATTATGGATAGTGTGCTCACACGAGCACCTCTGATCTCTCCTGAATGGAATCAACTGGGTCATAGCCATGTACTGCTAAAGGGCTTTAAACTCAAGAGATAAGGGCCTATAATTTTGAAGCAGGACAAGGATCTGAGTTTTGGTTCTGCAGTCAACACAGAGATCTGAGTGCAGCATTGTCACCACAGTGAAGTTCCCAGATAGCTTTGTTACCATATTCACACAGATCGCAGTTGTTAAATCTACAAATAAATATATACTATGCATGCCCAATATTTGCACATACGATAACAATTCCTGATACAGCCGTTTTAATTTTTAAAGCACTGTATTAATCCTCCCATCAACCCTGTGATGTCGCTTTCATCATCCTTATTTTATAGCAGGGGAAAGAGACACAAAGAGATTACTAGATGACTTTAGGCAAGTTACTTAAACTAATGGGACAGCCAGACTGAGAACACGAGCATTTCTGACCCCCAGTTTGCTGCTATTAGATGATGTTACCTCTTTATTAACAATGCCATGTGGAAAAACAAGGATGTAGTTAATGATGTAAAGGAATAAATGACTAAATTCTAAATGTGTGTGCTAAATCAGTTCTTTTCAAATTTTTCACAATAATCTCAAATGGCATTTTCTATTGTAGGCATTAATGTCTTGAAATCTATTCACAGTATCTGTCAATTGCTAAGACAAGTGATCATTAATACTTTGAGCCTAGAATCTCTTCCTAGAGCTAGCCTTCCCTCTTAACTCTGTATTTATAATTTTCAACCAGGGAAATTCCTTGGTTCTAGCCTCCTTTAAAGAAGGAGATAAAATCTATCACCCAACAAAATTAATTTTTTTCCATTCAAAACTATAATCCATTTAATTTGCATGTACTGCAAACAGATGAGAGAATTCATCATCATTCTTTAATATCAAATCCTGCATTATAAAACTCTATTCAGGTATCAAACAAAAAAGCCTGGAACAATATGGATCCTTAGTTACACAACTACATTTCCCAGATGCCCATATGATTTAAGGTCAAAGGGCACATTGCATCAGGTATAAAATGCTCCAGCTTGGGGCCCACCCCTATTATATAAAGCTCCAAACTGCCAAGAGAGCACATAGGTAAGCAGCAGTTTTTAAATTCTCCAGGCCTCAGTATTGCATGCACAAATGCATAATCGGATTAACAAACTAAGCAAGGTACATTACTTTGAAATAATGCAGCAGTTATGCAAGATATAAAAGACCTCTCTGGGTTGCATGGTGTAACATTGTCCATATAATCTACATCTTTATTACTTTCTAGATAGGCTGCACAACTCCTAATCCCCCACGCTTCCTTTAAAATAGGGAACTCAGAAAACATTTTACCAAGATTATAGGTGAAGACTTGCCAAGCTTTGCTTCATGACCCAAAATACAAATACAATTTTCACTTCACGTTCCAAAATAGCAAGTAAAGTAGAGAGGAAACCATTAACACCTATTCTTTCATATCTATCCCCCACATACTGAAAGTGACCTGCATTTCCTCTTGCGTGTGTTGCTGCTCCCGCTAGCAAGGCAGTTATTATTGGATCACAATATTTAGAACCGTTGTTTAAACCACGCAAGTAAATTCAAACTAGCTCCTTACTCTCCCTTTAGATACATGTGCTCAGAGCTCTACCAGGGAAGACGGATCTTCATTAACTGAGATTGGGAGGCATTTGGTGGGTTGAGTGCCAGGAACCAGGATCTGAGTTCTAATGTTGGCTTTTATGGGGTTGCTGTTTGGGCTTGAGCGAGTCACTCAAGGACAGATAGTGCAACCTTCAGTAAGCAATGGAACTACGGGCATGCGTAAGTGCTATATTCAGTGCGAAAAGGGGATTCAGAATCTGGCTCTTAACCTCTGTGTTCCTCAGCTCCCCACCTCGAAAACGGGGTTAGTCACAGAGGTAGTTTGAAGATTAACTACTATGTCTGTGCTGTGAAAATTGTGCCACTGTTAGCTGTCCTGAGTCAACCCTCTCCCTTTAAAAAGAGGTCTCCCCAGCATTTAGCACTTGTATCCAGTTCTCAGGTCTCCCATACCCAGGTGCTGAGACCTTTCCAAACTGGACCAGTGCTGGTTCAGTGGTATTTGTACAGTACATTAATGGCTGATAAGAACATTCCCAACAAACAAATGCCACTCAGTGGCCATGTAAAACTCACCATAGACTTCCAGCCCATTATTTAGAAGCCATGTAATCTGAGGAGGGGGCTTACTTCCCTGGGTGAAGCAGCTCAGTACAATCTTTTCTTCTTTGCCATTGGTTCTAATATCGGATACTTCCAACTGTGGCTTGGAGGGAGCAGCTGTAACAAAGAGATAAGTGATGAGATTAGGCTCTTACAGTCTTGTGCAATCAGCCTTATGATTGGTTGCATGTACCTCACCCCATATTATTATTTCTTTCAATTAAGGCCGCACCTCAAGGCCCCAGCCAGGATCAGGGCTCCATGTTGCTTGGCACTATACAACTGCATATAACGATGCAGTCCCTAACCCTAAAAACTGGACATATCTGCCTGATTTCTTCCCTGGCCCCATCACTGGTTAGAGCAGCATACAGAGGCGGTCCTAACTTGCACCAGCTGGCAACAGTTTCCAAGAGATTGTTCCCCAGCTGAGCATCGCTAGAGCACAGTATGTTGTGACTATGCCTCTTTCGCCCCCAGACATTCCCTTTTCCCTGTGCTGGGGATGAAGTGTAGCAGGGACGGTGCCTCTGTATTCACTGGGAACACCTCCACACTAGAACCTCCCCAGCAAAGAAGCGAGGGCCAGATTCCATCCTGCACTGCCCAGGGACAGAGAGAGGGGGCAGAGAATTTGGCCGACCATCCACACCGAGCTGCATTTAGGGTACTTTATTTACTCACTGTACTTCAGACTTTTAAGACTAATACTCTAGGCTACAAAAATTATTAGGGGTATGGAATGGCTGCCATATGAGGAGAGATTAATAAGACTTGGACTTTTCAGCTTGGAAAAGAGACGACTAAGGGGGGATATGATTGAGGTCTATAAAATCATGACTGGTGTGGAGAAAGTAAATAAGGAAGTGTTATTTACTCCTTCTCATAACACAAGAACTAGGGGCACCAAATTAAATTAATAGGCAGCAAGTTTAAAACAAACAAAAAGAAGTATTTTTTTCACACAATGCACAGTCAGTCTGTGGAACTCTTTGCCAGAGGATGTTGTGAAGGCCAAGACTATAACAGGGTTCAAAAAAGAACTAGATTAGTTCATGGAGAATAGGTCCATCAATGGCTATTAGCCAGGATGCGCAAGTATGGTGTCCCTAGCCTCTGTTTGCCAGAATCTGGGAATGGGTGATGGGATGGATCACTTGATGTTTACCTGTTCTGTTCATTCTCTCTGGGGCACCTGGCATTGGCCACTGTCGGAAGACAGGATACTGGGCTAGATGGACCTTTGGTCTGACCCAGTATGGCCGTTCTTATGTTCTTATATAAAGCAACAAAAAATAGCATTGAACTATGATTTGGCTAACAAACTAGAAAATGGGTTCATATAACTATTTACGTTTTCAGAATCAAAATACATAACCACAATAGAGAATAACACTTATACTCAATCACTATCTTGGGAAGGTGACCTTGTTTAAATTTTGACTAAGAGTCCCTCAGAATAGGGCCTCACTTGTGCCAATTGGTTATCAACTCCAGTGTTGCGAACACAACAGAGGAAATACAATACAAAGATAGATCACAAGGTAATTTGGTTAATTACTTACATATCAATTCACCAAAGTAGTCAACGCTTTTAACCTACTTCACCACAAATTATATTAACCCCAGGATCTGGCTAACACTCTTAACTAACATAAACTCTGCATTTATGACCAACTGTATAGACTGAGTGCTGTTCAAGAAGCTTGAACACTTGATCTCATTTTATGTCTGTATACACCGAGAACTTGAAAAGCAGTATGAAACCATTAACTGTTGTAGACACATATGCAGCCGTCTGCAATCTTAGGTAACAGTAATTTGTTCAGTTTCAAATCTATGTTATAACAATCTTGACTGGAACCTATTACAAAATAAGGAAACACATTGCAACTCTGTGACCATCTTTAAAGCGTATGGGAGCATGTACACTTCTTTAATAATTAGGTGTCCAGTTTCAGGAAGTGGTAAATTGACTGTTTTGCAATGTGACCCAAAAGAAAGTCTGTGTGTTGCTTATCACCAGGTCTTTGCTCAGCTGTTAGCTTTCAGCTCAGATATCTCCACAGCAGGAGTTGACCATGTGTAAATAGGCAGAGCAAAGGATGGACATGACTATAGTCTTTTCCTGGTCTGCTAGTGGGTAACCTGAGTTGCTGGAAAATAGAAAGAGAGAGGTGACAACTAAGAGGACTCCCAGGTGGCCAGACCAGGAACTCAGTTCTTCCTCCTTCCAGGTGTCTTTGGCTTTCAGGAAGCGATGTGCTGAAGGAGACAGGCTATTTTATCCTATTTTCGCTGGGTGGTCCAACTTTGTTCCACTTCTTGGAGGTTCTGGGTGTGGCTCAATCAGATAGTGACCAATACTTCTCAAGATTCTAAATGTCCAGCCAAAATGAAAGTTGTCCTCTCTCACCATTCAATCAGAGAATGACATGTCAGCTGATTTCTCCCAGTGGACTTGAGTTTTCCAGTCTCTTTGTGCAATACATTTTCTCACTCCAGCTTATATGAAATAAGGTCATAACTTTGGTGCATCCATTTTGGGACATACCCTGAGCACCAGCTGGTTTGCTTGAGCCACCAACATAGCAACCAAATCACTTTTCATGGGCCCCTTTGTGGTGTATCCCCTTGGCCTACTTTGCAGTTATGCTTACTCAGGGTACAGTTTCTCTATCAACACTTAGCTAGTTGCTGAGATGTTCAGTTTAAGGTTCATATAATGTATACAGAGTCCCTCCATAGCCTTTGATGCTTTTCAAACTTCTTTTAATAGTTCGTTATACAATACAATGTCACTTCAAGAACTGTTATTCTTCAACAGGCTAGTAGACCTGTATAAATCTTCTGCTTTTGTTCTTTTTAACAACAATGGTGAAATCTTGGTATGTATGCTGAGCTGAGTCTTTGCATTATGAATCAAATAGTTACATTTCTGGCTATTCCACCCTGTGGTCAAGTGTCCTTATAAACATACTATTTGATTTCAGTTCCTTGTATTCACTGCCTCTTTTAGCACAAGCATATTTCACTAACTTGGTAGCATAAGCATATTTGATTGCTAGCATTAGCCTGACTTCCTCAGTTTATCACTTAAAGTAAAAACAAATCAATATGACCACAGTCCCTTTCTTTCCTAAAAGCATTGCCCATGAGGTAAACCCTGTCATTAAAGTTGATAATATTTTGCCCAATACTGTGCCACTTATAGTTGACTTCCCTCTTATGCACATTTGAATAATACAATTATATTTCATTAAGTTCCCTATTTGGCAACTCTATTTGGCATATTATATAATATTTTCACTTTTGATATGCATTTAATTTTTAACTCATTCACAGACAAGGAACAGGGGAGCTCTTGTTAGCAGTACCAGCAGTACGCTCTTATGAAAGGCTGCTCCAATTCTGCATTTCCTCAGCCTGTTGAAGAAATCTAGCTGTTAGGCATTGGATTTTTATTCTCTTAGCCCTCTGTTCGATCATTTCTAAAAGGTCTTGATACCTGGGCAATTCTTGAATAGTAATAACTCATAACTTTGGGGCCTTAGTTACTACAACAGGGCCTCTTAAACATATTACAAAAGAATACAGTAAAATGGGATAGCCTTCATTCAGAAATAAAAACATAGGAGCTTGGATTTTATTAGAAACCTATGGAAATTTAGCTTCTCTAATGGAACTCACCTAAGACAGTAACATTCACTTTCTTGGTTTTGACTGGTGTGTCATAGTAGAAGCATGTGTATGTGCCTTCATCCTGTACTGTGACATTAGAGAGGCTGATAGATAATTTATTTTTTGAATAGTGGATAAGCTTGTATCTCTGATCTTTTAAACCTGTAAGTGAAAAAAGAATGGCATAGTAAGTGCATTGGTACATATGAGCGACATGGGTAACCAAAGTGATAACAGGTGAGATTGGCTTTGTTCATCAGGTGTGAATGACATTCTTTTTCATTCATTCGCTCACAGTGTTTAATGAACAATTCTAGTACTAATCATTCCTAGCTGGATCTATAGCAATACATTAAAAATAGTGCACATGAGGGGGAAGGGAGGTCATAACATTTCCTGTGTGTTTCAAAGCTCAGAAAGAAGTTTGGTTTGAGAGGCAGGTGGGTCTTGTGGGTAAAACATTCTTCTTGCACTCAGGAAACTACAGTTCAGTCCCTGGCTCTGCCACAGACTTCCTGTGTGACTTTGTGCAAATCTCTTTGCCTCAGTTTCCCATCTGTCAAATGGGGCTAATGTTAATTATTTATATTGCAGTAGCACTTAGAGGTCCCCAACCTAGACTGGGGCCTTATTGTACTAGGTGTTGTACAGACACGCAGTAGGACATGTCTTTGCTCCAATGAGTTTAAAGTTTAAAGAGATAAGACAAACAAAGGGTGGAAGGGTAAATAGAGGCACAGAGAGCTGAAGTGCTTTGCCCAAGGCCATGCAGCAGGCAGAACTGGGAATAGAACCAGGCTAGTGCACCATCCATTAAACCACACTGCCTCCTCTTAGACTTCCTTGCCTCACAGGGGAGGGTTGTGAGACTAAATTCATTGATGTTGGTTTATGGGGGTTCTCAAGATACTAATGGAATTTGGGTCCTGGGGCAGGTAAATGTCAACAAATGTTTGGAGAATTACGAAGAGGCAGCATGGAAGGGGCTGTACCATGATCCAGTGCATATAGGATAGGGTTAGGACTCCAGAGAGTGGGGATCTATTCCCCTCTTAGAGACAGACTCATGGTGTGACTTTATGCACCATCTCGCCGTGATGGGCCTGTTTCCCAATCTGCAAAAGGGGGGTGGAATTATGTAATGCTCCACATCCATAAATCTTGAAGTATTAATGAGTTGTCTGATCCTCTAATCCTAGTTTTGCCTAATTAGTTGCCCTTTAACGAGATACCTTCCTGGAATATCCAGATCTCTCAGCAGATTAATATCTCTTTGGGCTTCCAAGACACTCCTAAACTCTTTCCCCTGTGTGACCCATGGGAATCTTGGGATTGAGTCGAGCAGGTCACATCAGCTCTCCCGCTGGCAACTCATGGGAGGGACTTAAAGGGGGGCACATGACCTCCTCATGTGACTCCTCTCTGCCCCCAGCCTGGGCCTCTGTGCTGTCCCTGTCCCCTCCCCATCCCATGTTATGGGTGGGAAGGGTCTGTCCTCCTGCTGCGCAGGATGCCAATTTCAGGCCTTCCACGCAGTTGCATCTCCTGGGTCTGTACAGCTCCACTGGAGGACAGGGCTGGGGGCAGTACCCGTACAGCCACGCCGGAGGAGCTGCTGGCGCGGGGACCCACGTTCTGCTCCTTTTGCTGCTGGGGTTCCCTGCTGAATGTGCCCCCACCCCCAGTTGTTTGGGGAGGGGCACTTTTTGCCCTCCCCCGTCCCCTCCCAACCGGCGTCGCCTTTGCTCACCGCAATCACAACACAGAAACTAACAGCCTGCCTTTAAAGTAGGAACTGAAATTGAGGAAATGGGCCATCCATTGGGGGAGACTAAAGGACCTCAGAAACTTCTTTTTTTTTTTTTAGCTGAGGCTTTTTAAGGCCTTAAAAATATTTAGGCGAGTGATGGAATCATAGGTGTTTTAATTTCTGAAAAGGACTAAATATGAAAGAAAAATAATGTTCAAATCACTGTTGTGTGTAAGCTAGCTGGTTAGTCATGTTTAATTTTTTGCCATATGGAATAAGAAAATGATTTGTTAAGCTGTGTGTCACATTGCTTCTTTGAACAGGGACTTATGGTGATAAGAATGAGAACGCAAATGCCCACATATGGCATAAAATTTTGTTTCTCCACTAACATGGAAAAAAAGCAAAAATACGGTGCTTCAGACATATCAAGTACTTTACAAACACTAATCCTTGTGTTTAATATCACTTAAATATTATACACCCTGTAAAGAGATTATCACATGCCTTTGCAGAGGAATAGACTGTGGGTCAAACCCTCAGCTGGTGCAATATCCCTAGGTGCTGGAACTAGGGGGGCTGCCACACCCCCTGGCTTGAAGTGGTTTCCATTATATCCAGGGTTTACAGTTTGGTTCAATGGCTCTCAGAACCCCCACTACACAAATTGTTCCAGCAGACCTGACAATATCAGTGTAGTTTCACTGACTTCAATGAAGTCATGTAGATTGACACCAGCTAAAGATTTGGGTTTATAGACTCTTGGTACGATCTTCCATCCTAACCTACTATTACACCTCTTTGAGATTGGTAAATTGAATTGGACAAAATTTTCAAAAGCATATACGTGATTTAGGAGCTGGGCTAATAATAATAATGATAATAATATCAATATTTTAAAAGTTCACCATGTATTCCATTTGCAAATGTTTGCAAAATTTATTGACTAAATTATCTGGCAAATGTATTTGTCAGATTATTTATTCAATAAAATTTTGCAGTTATCCACTCAGCAATCATATTGATGATGATTTGAGCTCAAATTCTCAAAGGGACCCATTAGGTGTTGGGGACTCAGTTCACGCTGAATTTCAACGGGAGTTGGGTGCCAGATTCCCTTTGAAAAATCCCTGTTGTTTTTAGTGCATCTAGCAGCCCTAAGAGTGATCAGGGTCCACTATGCTATGCTCTGTAAAACAGACAGTCCCTGCTCCACAGAGCTCACAATCTAGGAGTGACAAGATGGCACTGGGGGACAGACAGGTGTGGGGTGGAGGACAAGGTAGCAGTAAACATGGGTGTGTTCGCATCAGTTAGCTGTCTCCATGGTATAGCACTCACCAGCTTCTTATCAAAACAGGTGCTTTTTTAATAAGTTAAAAACCAATGCGGATTCTAAGCAAGGAACGCTTTGAACCTTCTTTCTCAGCTAAATCAGACACAATCTACAGCATGCGTAGGTCCTTTCAGTCAGTGGTGGGTTTTTGAGCTGGTGTTAGTTGTAAATACAGTTTATTCCCTGAGGCCCCATTTACAAACCACTCTGGTGGGGTTTCCATTTAATCAACTTCCTGTAGGAAAGCGACTGACTGTACAAGAGCTCTAAGTGGTGGGCCTGTAGGTGAGTCAGATCTTACAGTAGGTGGGAGATTGGAAAGACCACCGATGACTGACCCCTCTCCTACCAAATGGAAAGTAACATGGGTGCAGGTTTTGACACTTACCTCGGTGGCTTTTTAGAAAAATAACAAACCCCCGAGGGTTTGACCACTCCAAGGCAGATTCGTGGTCTCCGGTGAAATCACACTGTAGGCTTAAATCCTGCCCCTCCTCCACAGTGACACTTTCAGTGTGAACCTCTTGAAAATCCCCTGCCAGAGAAAAACAGTTGTGAAATGCGATGTGAGGCAAACTGAGAGCATTCATTTTTCAAAAAGGCTTGTCTGCGAGGGGAAATTTACCAGCATAACTCTACTGGTATAATTGTACATTTATACCAATATAACTCCCCATGTAGACACTCTTGTTCTAGAATAAGTGTCCACTAGGAGTTATACTGGTAAATTTCCCCCAGTAGACAAGCCCCGAGAGTGAATCTCATGCCAACAAGAGGCGCTGGCTCGACAGACCTAAGGAGTGAACTCCTCTATCCCCAGAACAGGGACAGGATGGACAATGGCATCTCACGCTTCCCTGTACTGCGAATGTGCCACTCTATCTAATTTAGGTACCTCTATGGTCTTCATCTGCCATAGGTATCTGGGCACCTCACAGTTATTAACATATATATTTATCCTCTCAGCATCGCTGTAAGGCAAGGAAGTGCTATTATCCCCATTTTGAAGGTAGGGCGCTAAGGCCCAAAGACACTCAGGTCCAGATTCAAAGGCATTTAGGTGCCTAAGTTCCATTGAAATCAATTTCCTAAATACCTTTGAGGATCTTGGCCTCAATGTCTGTGGCAGAACTCAGAACCCAACTCAAGTCTCCAGAGTCTTAGCCTGCAGCCTTAATCCCACGGCCATCTCTCCACAGCCCTCCCATAGGTGGCCTGAAGTCCCTCTATGGATGAGAAGAGGGTTCAGCGCTAGGACCCGTTTGATCTTTGGAAGCTCTGCTGAGACTCCCAACACTTGTGGTGGTGGTTTTGTGATGTTGCGCACCTGCCCACCACAACTGGACCCCTCAATTTATTTCACACAAGCCATCGAAGAGCCAGAAATAGGTGGATTCGATGAATAAATGCTCCATGCATTTAAACACACACTGGTTTTTAGTTACCAGCCTGGGCCAGATTTGAACAAATGACTCAAAGGTCAAAGCGCTGTCTTGCAATTACCGGTCGTTGTGCCTGATTTTCAGAAGTGGTGATCTCACAACTCCAGTTGAAATGAATAGTAATCATGGGTGCTCAGCACCTCTGAAAATCAATCCTTTTATATTCAAATGTCTAGATCGGGGCGGGCAAACTGTTTGGCCTAAGGGCAGCATCAGGTTTTGTAAATTGTATGGAGGGCCAGTTAGGGGAGGGGGTCGTGGCCCGGCCCCCATCTCCTATCTGACCCCCCCCCCCGGGACTCCTGCCCCATCCAACCTCCCCGTTCCCTGACGGCCCCTCTGGGACCCCTGCCCCATCCACCCCCCCCCGCTCCCTGTTCCTGAGTGCCCCCGGATCCCCGCCGCCCCATCCAACCCCTCCTCTCATTCCTGACGGCCCTCCCCCCGGGACCCCTGCCCTATCCAACCACCCCTTCTCCCTGTCCCCTGACTGCCCCCGGAACCCCTGCCCCCGACTGCCCCCTGCCGCCCCATCCAACCCCCCCTCCTTCCTGACTGCCCCCCCGGGACCCCTGCCCCCATTCAACTCCTTATTCCCCCCGACCCCTATCCACACCCCCGCCCCCGACCACCACCCCGAACAAGCGAGCTGAGGCCGTGGGCGAGGAGGAACAGCAAGGGAGGGGCCGGGGATAGCCTCCCGGGCCAGGAGCTCGGGAGCCGGGCAGGACGGTCCCGCGGGCCGTAGTTTGCCCACCCCTGGTCTAGATCTTTAGTTGCAGTAAATTGGTACGGCGCTCCATTAAAGTCAGGATCTGGCCTAACATATGTAACTAAAAAGAAATTCCATTCTCCCAGCTCATTTTACAGTGAAGCAATAAAGTACGTTCCTCTTCCCAGCCAGAATTGATCACGCTGAGATATATAATGCACTTTGTGAAAATGTTTTATGGCCTTAAATTATTTTTGGCCTCCTCCAAACAAACATGCGTTGGAGAAATTACGAACAGCAGTAACTGTGTCAGAGCTAAGTAAATAGGCAGTTAAGGGAATTTATTTTTCAATCAGTTTTTCTTTTTAAAGTAGCTGCCTACAGCAAGTTGCTTGCCAGAGTGTGGGAGCGCTGAACCTTTGGGGCAATGGGTCTGCCTTGGTTGCACAAATAGGAAGCATTTTATTTTTTAAAAAGAACCAAAAATGGCAATCTTAGGTTCTTTGCCACTGGAGTCAACAGGAGGTTTTTTACTGAGTTCAGTGACAGCAGGATTGGGCTCGCTGTAGGGAAGGTGGTAGACATGGAGGTCTGTAGCCACGTCCCCCTCCATGTCCTTACTCATCTCCCACCCGGGGAGTGGCAGAGGGAAATGGTTAGCAGTGTAGCTGGGAGCTCTCATGGAAGGCAAACTTCGTCCCCAGGGTAAGTCACTGTAAATTGAGCTGGATACACACCCAAGGCTTCAGTTGTTGGTATCAATGTGGCCCTCACTGTCTGATCTATAGGGTCCATAAAGCTGCAAACTCTCATGGTACTTGAGCATTTTGCTGTCTACCCTGGCGGCCAGAACCAGGAAGCACAGAGGTTGTCCTTTTGCATGAAGGAGTGACTCATCCAATACAAACCAATTGTCCGTCCTCACTTAACAGCCCTATTAGTCATTAATCATAAAAAGAAACCGTGGGGCTGATTCTTCTCGTGCTTACGTTGTTTTACCCCAGTGAAATTCCATTGACTTAGTGGAGTTACTCCTGATTCTCACCAATGTAAGTGAGGGGAGGCCTGTGGTGATGCTCTAGTTCAAGCACAGCAGCTGGACTTGAAGCCGTAATAAATTCAGGGAAGTCCTTGACCTGTGTGCAGAAGGTCAGACTAGATGATCATTCACAATGGTCCCTTGTGGCCACAGAATCTATAAATTGGGATGTGTTTGTAAATTCTAATTCTTTCCGATTCAGTGGTCAACCCATTATTCAGCACCATAATGACACGTTGGCAAATTATTCAGTTCATGTCATTCAACAGAGGTGATTTTTTTGCTGCTGAATTTACATTCCTAATTATAATGACCGGGACCGTTTTATGGACGCCTTTGTAGGAGACAAGCAGATAGTGACAACCATGAATATGTTGTGCTTTCCATTAGCCATTTTAATGCCTCTGCAGGGCACAGAGACCAAAATTACCCCAATGAAAGTGACGTGAGAAATTATGATTGAGGAAGAAGTTGATTCGGTTCGTGTTTCTCCCATAGACGGCTCTTTGCTGGCAATCTATGTTCTATTTAAGTGGCTCAGCCTTATATTTGTTTATGTTTGATACCATCTCCATCTCCCAGGATTAAATTGTTTTTGAAACAAAAAAGGATCCATTATATGAGGGAAACAACAATAAGCTAGTTTTTCAGGTTTCATGACACTTAGAAGTGGTTGCCCCAGACTCAATGGCAAAAGAAAACATTCCTTTTGTGAGCCCTCCATAGTTCCATCTATAAAGATGTGCGTTACCAGGTTCATCTTGTTAGTGTAGCTGAGGTAGCCTTGTCTGTGGTTTTCCACAGGGCCTTTCTGCATCTTTACTATTTCCTGTCACTGACACTGGCGTGGGGGGTCTGTCAGCTCATACTCTTTGAAGTGAGAGAAACCAGACTCTAAATAGGAAAGCACGTTTAAAAAAAAAAAAAAAAGACTAAACCCCAGAACTGAACACACAAGACTTTCCATCTGAGACTGGGATGTCCACCAGCCATGACTCATGGGCCGAATTTCCTTCCTTCTCCGGGGGCAGTGTTGCCCTGTTCCTCCAGCACAGCAGTCCTAAAGCCATTGTAGCTGGTCACAAAAGGGTCATCATAATATAGGGAGATAATCATCTGATACCTCCTGATACTTGACATAATATAGGGAGATACTCATCTTGTTCCACTCCCTATGGACAGCGTAGGGGATGAAGTCAGGGTTATTTCTGTGCTCCATTGATCCCCAGTTGCTCTAATGACCCCACTGAGCCATTGGTACCTGGAGGAAATTAGAGCAGCCTCTAGGCTGTGCTGAATTATTCCATGGGAGCAGCCAGCTCAGGATTGCAGGGAGGAGTGGAGATTTGACCAGCTTCCCTTCCTCGAGTTGTCCCAAGTGCTCCTCAACCACAGACAAGGACTGAGACCTGTCTCTAAACGGAAGTGAACAATGGCATTGTTTGGGTTTTCAGATGACTGGGCATCGCAGATCATTCACATTCTGCACAGTATCTCCCTAGGGGGTTCCTTTGAGGAACCAGTGACCAGATCATGTCTCCTCTACCTCCATGAATGGGGCGAGGAGGACAGAAACCCCAGTGGCATAACGGAGAGTGTGGCTGCAGGGGATGGGAGGCCGTTTCTGCCGCATTGTTCTCCCTTCACCCAGCCCCATGGAAACTCGTCCATGAGGATTTGGATCTGCAGGCGGGAGAAAGCGGGGCTGGTGGGAAGGGGATGGTAGTGTCTGCACGTTGTTCCGTCACCCTCTCCCACTCGCTGAACCATGAATATCTCAGCCTGTGTTAATGCTGCCTGAGGCAGTGTTATCTTATTTGCTTCCACCTATGGAACTCTTCTTTTCTGGTGGGCGTTCTTAATGCACTGGCTGGTGGGGAGTCTCTGACTGCCCTACCCCGTCAGAATTGCACCATGCTCCATAGAGGTGTTGGGAATCAAGTTACCTTATTAAAGTAAAATCTATAGGCATACTGGGACCAAATTTCACAACAGCCCCAATGCTGGGGTAATGTGAATTTATTCAGGCATCATGAAATGCCCTTCATTCCAGTCGTCCTCCCAACCCTCATGCAAACACACTCAGCTGTGGCTCAGAATTGCATATATTTATTGATGTAAAATTTGTTGATTACTTTTGAGGATGGCAAGGGGTGAATCTGGTAGCCAGTTTCAATGGCTCATCACCCCAGCCACCTGGGCCTTGGCAGTTACACCTTTGAGAAGCCCAATGTATATCCCTAGGCCAGGTCCCTGGCTACAAGCTGGCTACAAGCTCTGTCTCCATGACCACCTCAGTTCCATGGAACAACGCAGAGAGCATACACTGTAGTACAATCCATTCCTCCTCCTGGGGAAAACTGGAGAGCAAGAGGCAGCAGGACTGGGATGAATGGAGCAGCTCACGTCTCTGAGCTATTGTTTCAGACTGTCTGCAGACTCATACAGAAATCTCAATGGTTTACAACTCAGTTCATGTTTTCAACGTTATCTTTACAACCATCAGACTAGAAATATCATTAACAAAGAAATGAACAGTGAGATTCTGCAGCAAGGAGTGAATTTTGTGGCAGATTTAATAACTGCAGAATACAGGGGGCCCTGCCTATGACTGGTTTGATTGTACAATAGAACCTCCCTAATTTACACTGACATCTGGGAAGCTTATTGTATGCACAACGGGATTTTTGCAAATTAGAGTACAGTGGTTGGCCCCAAAAGCTGGTCAGTTGCCTTAGATAATAACTTAATACTATGATCTCAGGATTCGCTGTATTCCCTGGGTTTTCCCTAGAGTAAGTAAATGGAACACTGCAAATATCAAAATAACCATATCCATTTAATTTAAGATTAAAATGACCAGTTTTAAAGGTGACCACTTAGTTAACAAACACAAGCAATAACGATATACCCCATCCCAGGGATGATGTAACGTAAAGTGTACTTTGTCTATTTACTTTAATCTGGACTCGGATTCACAATACACTCATATAGTAGTATATTTTGCACTATTACCAAAGTCTCAGGAAATGAGACCTTACTGCAATTTCTTCTCTTAAATCATTGTAAAGAAGTGGGGCGAGACTATCCTTTTGGGGTTCATACTGCAGGCAGTGCAAAAATCATGCAAGGATCAGGAATGTCACCTGTAAGTGTCCTTCAGTGTGAATTATTGACTTGCATGGGCCTTTGTTTGTTTAAATCTGGTCATTATTTGACATGTCCACAGGCAATCCTTGCACACATGCTGATGTGTGTGAGTGATGAGGCGCAGGTTAGCAACATATGTAAACAGGGCTACATCCTGTAGCAGGAATAATAATACTGAACATTTATATAGTGCGCTGTTTTCAAAGCACTCTCTAAACATTAAACAAGGCTAGGTTACCCTTCCAGCACACCTGGAAGGTAGCTGCCATTAGCCCTATTTTACAGATGGGCAAATGGAGGTAGAGAGATGTAAGTCATGTAAGGCTATTTTGTGAGTCAGGATCAGAACTAGGATGAGAATCCAGCAGTTCCTGGCTCTCTGTCCTCTACACTGTGTTTCCAAGGCTTATAAGGCAAATGATTGTCATTAGGTTTAACAATTAATTGGAATTGGGTGGCCCTTAGGTGACAGAAGATCCTGTTGAAAAGCTTGGTGGCGATAGTGCAATGCAGCTAATAATAAAAAGCACTTTGGCATGTGGTGCAGTGAAGTTCTGTAAACAAAATAATTCCATTTAAGAGCTTTTAAGACAGACAGTTAAACAATGTCGCTTACCTTGCAGTGGTAACAAAGCCACGATACAGAGCACGGCGGTGAGATTCATGTTGTGGGATGTAAACGTAGCCTGTCTCTGTCTGCTATGCTGCACAAACTTCCTCTTCGCTTTAGAAGTGCAGACTTACAGTCGGTTCCTTTTCAACAGGGTGGGGAGTGGGGTTACCATGACTTCATCAGCGCTGAGGTCACTCCCTCCCTCTTCTTTTTCTGCTGCTCCCACTTGCCTTCTCGCTGGGTTGTTTCCTCTGCCGTGACCACTAGGGAGAAAGCTGTGTGACCCCATGTGTGTTCTAAAATTATTAAACTGTGGTTGACAGGTGCTAGATGCTATGACTCTATGCCCGCTTAGACTCAAATGTCATAGGGGTTGCATCCCACTTGTGCTCTGTGGGAAAAAAGAGCATAGCAGGAGAGCGAGACAAGGATAAAAAGAAATATAGAGTCCTGAGAGACAGGGGTGCTGGACCAGTGTGTATAGTGGGGGTGCTGAGAAACGTTGAACCAAACTATAAACCCTGTATATGATGGAAACCACTTAAAGACAGGGGGTGCACTTGTGGAGGAAGGATGGTCTGGAGATTAGGCCTCAGGAGAGCTGGTTTCAATTCTCTATTCTACCTCAGGCTCCCTGTGTGATGTTGGAATTTAGGTCCAGATTTTTAACTCTATGTAGGTGCCAGAAGGGGCAGGTGGGTGCCTAGTGGGATTTTCAAAAGCTCTCGGATTCAAAGATTTTCAAAATGGTGAGTTTCTGAAAATACCAGCAGGCACCTTTCTGAATCTTCAGGTGCCTACATAGCTTCAAAAAATCTGCCCCTTAGTGTGTTTGAGCCTCAGGTCCCTATGTGTCCAATGGGGATAATAGCACTGCCCTGCCTCACAGGGCCGTGGTGAGGCTAGACATATTAAAAACTATGAGGTGCTCAGATGACTACGGTGGTGAGGGCCAAGTAAATACCCTAGATCAGGGGAGGGCAAACTACAGCCCGCAGGCTGGATCTGGCCCATCAGGACTTTCAATCTGGCCCGCGGGATTGCCAGCCCCATGGCGCAGCGAAGCTAAGGCAGGCTCCCCGCCTGCCCTGGCCCCGGGCTGCTCCCGGAAGCGGCCGGCACCACGTCCCTACAGCCCCTGGGGGGGGGGGGGGGGGGAGGGGGGCCCGGGGGCTGCCCTCGCCTGCAGGCACTGCCCCCTGCAGCTCTCATTGGCCAGGAACAGGGAACCACGGCCAATGGGAGCTTCGGAGGTGGTACCTGCAGGCGAGGGCAGCGCGCGGCAGAGCCGCCTACCCCACCCCGCCCCCAGGAGCCACTGCTAGACAGACTGGCCACTTCTGGTAACGGTGCGAGGCCAGGGCAGGCCGGAGCCACTTGAGGTAAGCGGTGCCGGGCCAGAGTCCGCACCCCAAACCCCTCCTGCACCCCAACCCCCTGCCTTGAGCCCCCTCCCGCACTCTGCACCCCTCCCACATCTCAACCCCCTGCCCTGAGCCCCCAACCCCCTGCCCTGAGCCCCCTGCCGCACCCCTCCTGCACCCCAAACCCTTGCCCTGGGCCCCTTCTTGCACACTGCACCCCCTCCTGCACTCCAACCCCCTGCCCCAGCCCTACATTAATGGCCCTACATAGTTTCCCCACCCAGATGTGGCCCTTGGGCCAAAACATTTGCCCACCCCTGCCCTAGATAATGAGCACCATGGGACAGTGGTAGCGTAATGTTAATACATGGCCCCCAAAGTGCTGCTTGGGGGTCTGATGTACCGGTTATGTCTCAGATGTAGCAGGGTGGCCCAAGGAAAACTTTGAGGAGCCAGAGCCTAATCCTGCATATTGCTCTACATCTCTTGGGTGCTTTGGAAGCTGAGGCGCATTCAGTCCCCAGGTCATCTACTCCTGTGGAAGGGGCTGTGTGTGAATACCAAGTGGGGTTTGTTTTTATTGTTGGTGAACTCAACCAACAAGCTATGTCTGTTATCCTGGGAGATACGAGCCCAAGTAAAGGTCTCTGGCTGAGTTTTTCAGTTGAAAAGGGCATTGTTAACGAGGCAGCCAGTTGGATTAGAATAGAGTGCACACATTCGTAGGGAACACATTTGGATGCACAGGCTGAACCAATTAATCGTAAATACGTTATGCATTTTTATTGCTTAAACTTCTGGACCAGCTAATTAACGTTCCGCCAAGCATTCCATTTTCTGGTAAAGCAGCTTCTTTTATTAATGCAATTGATCAACAAAGGGTGTGACTGGATGTGGGTGATAAAATTAACATTGGGGGAAAAAATCATAGAAAGGAAGGAGATGCAGCCTGTGAAGTAAGGGATCTCTTGAGTTTAGAACTGGTGATTCCAATCCTGCACACCCAAATCTCCTCCTGAAGTAACTGTGGGTGCAAAGGGGATCCAAATCCCACTGAAACCAATGGAAGCTGGATTGGGCCCCAAATCATGAAGCCCTCCATACTGATGCAAAACTCTCACAAAGGGTGAGATTATGTGCAGTGGGCAATCAAAACTGAACTTAAGTAAGCCTTGTGCCCTTTCTCTGCATGGGGGTGAATTTCACCCCTACAGAACCGAGCGAGAATTTTACACTAGCAATTAATTCCCCATCCTTCCTGAAGTAAACACGTAACTGTCAGACTAACTGTTTCATCAATGAGTGGCAAGACAACCAAAGAAAGTAAGGTCAAGATGAGATCACAAAAGGCATTCAGATGAGGCATGAGGGGTTGAAAATTTTATTACAATCTAAAGCAAATCAAGCCCTTTCCATTCAAGGTTCTCTCAGTCCTTTGAAAACAAACTGGGAGTGTGTGTTATTTATCTAGGCTTATCACTGATATATTTTTTACTCTTCCTTTTATAGTAAATGTAAGGGGCTCATGAACGTTTTTGACTTAGAAAAAGGGATTGCCAACCTGAAAAGTCAGAGAAACACTGATCCAAATTATTCATACAGGGTGAAGTTGACCTATGGCAGAGGAATAGCAAATCCCACCAAAGCCCTCTGCTCTCTCCACAGGGGTATACTTCACCCATATGCTTTACCTGATTCACTCTGCTTTCAGATTCACTCCTTGCTGGGTGGACTATGTACGTATTTGAGAGGAAAACTGTAAATAGGAAGGAATTACTCTGGATGCATTTCATCTTTATTAAATCATCTGTGAGCCATTTGGTTTAACTTTTGAGAAATCCATTTAATGTAACAAGCAAATTAAAATGGCATGGTTGTTTCAACAGTTGTTAGCAATTGAAATAGAAGATGAAAAAAATAAAATAAAACAAATACAGATGTCACAGGTAATTACAGCGATTTTTTTTTTGGCAATACAATTTTTTTAAAACGTCAAATGTTTTTCTCAAATAAATACAATCTGATCACACTGAAAACATAGTAAACATAACAATACAACAGCTTAAAAATGAAAAAAAAAATATGCATCCATTGATGACATCAAGTTTTTAGAACTGTCCACAGAGAGAAGCTTCAGAAAGTACTTTCTTAGTGGCAACAAAACAAGTTAATAAAAGGATCTGGTCATATATTTTTTATTCTCTTACATGTATATTTCATAAATATTCAATCAATAAATGGGTTCAGGTATTTGAGGCAGCAGTGACAACTAAGTGGCATATTAGAGTGTATGCAGTCAATTGCATTTACAGTTTGATTATTCACTTTAAATGTGCCAGCTCTTCGCATCATTTCATATGTATTTAAGAATCAAATGATTTCCTCTACATTTAGGCTCAATTTTTGTTAGCACTAGACTTTCCATTATAAGCAGTAATTTTCCTACTGACTTTCAATATGTTTTAAATATTGAAGTACTGCAAATCAATTTTCAGTCCTGTGTTTGAATGTGAAAATTATTTGGCAACTGCCTGACTCAAATATCCTACATCTCTCTTGTTAAAATGAATGTTAACTTAAGCAGATGTTAAGTTTTCCCCATGCCCCACACATGAGCTATTGAGATTTTCTTCCCATCCTCTTCGACTACAGGACTGCAATTTAAATGCAAATTCTGGGGCTACCAAAGTTCACAGTAGTGTGTATAGAGTTTGCCACTGCTCTACAGGATGCTGAAATGAACTGCATGTTTATGTTCATTATTTAGTGTAAATTCAAAGGAGCAATCATCACTGTTTTTAAATGATATACTCATGTAGTAGTGCAGGTAGGTCTCACAGCAAATGCCTCAATTCACTGCACAAAGGATTTTTTTTTCCACAATAAAACAGACCTGAACTACTCTGACTTCATCTTCATTTGGTCCCCAATTCAGTTCAGGAATGTTTTTAAGTACCTGCTTAATGTCCATTAAAGTCAATAGGATTTAAACACATGCTTAAATGTGTTTCCTGAATCAGGGCCAAAGGGCCAATCCAGATATGTGTAAAGTGTCCTCAACTTCCACTGAACTCAATGGCAGTTGAGAGCACACAGTACTTAGCAGGTTCAGGTCTTGTGTTACCTGATCCCAAGCCCTGAAGTCATTAGAAGCCTTTCCAGTGGCTTCAGTGAGCTTTGCATCAGGCCCTTAGCTCCTAACGGTTCTATGCAATTGAAATGAAAAATATCATTATAATATGATGAGGGGGGAGGGATAGCTCAGTGGTTTGAGCATTGGCCTGCTAAACCCAGGCTTGTGAGTTCAATCCTTGAGGGGGCCACTTAGGGATCTGGGGCAAAATCAGTACTTGGTCCTGCTAGTGAAGGCAGGGGGCTGGACTTGATGACCTTTCAAGGTCCCTTCCAGTTCTAGGAGATAGGATATCTCCATTTATTTATTTATTTATTTATTTATGCTAACAGCTAGTTTAGTGGAAAGACTGTTAGCAATAATGCTATGCACAACTATATCCCCAAACCTTCTTTAAAAATAGATGCACGCAGTACACACAGTTACACAGATTTCAACATCTAAGTCCTTCTGGTATTAAAACCTGTAGGAGCCAGGTCTGTTGATAAAAATGATATACTAGGATAATACCACTCTGGAATCATTTCTCCCTTCTTCTTTTTTTTTTTTTTTTGGTTTGTTTTTTGTTGTAGTTGTTTTTGTTTTGCAAAGTGGTTAATTATTTTTTTCTTCACAAAGAGCTATTTTTAAATAACTCACTCTTTGGTTATAATAGATTATCACTTTAATAATAATAATAATGAAGAAACTAACTCCACAGGAAAAAGAAAAAAAATGCTTTCTAGCCATCAGTTGGCCATTTATTCTAGATTTGCTCCGATTCCATGTAATGGAAAACATCGCATTCTAGAAATAATGGGCCACATCTTCCACTGATGTAAATAGACATAGCTCCATTGATTTCAATGGAGTAAAATCCATTTACACTGGATGAGGACCCGGCCCGATAACTACTTGTAGAACTTAAGCAATTGACTGTAGCTACCAGTGCATTGACAGTGAGGGAAACTCATGAAAATGCGGCATCTGATGTCTGCATCAACACATCCGATGCACAATGGACAAAGTGGTACATTGCTGAAATCACCGGGAACTGTGCACATTCTGTCTGGCAGAGACTAAAGTGTTAAAGGCAAGGTTTAATATACACCTCTACCCCAATATAACGCTGTCCTTGGGAGCCAAAAAATCTTACTGTGTTATAGGTGAAACCGCGTTATATCGAACTTGCTTTGATCTGCCAGAGTGCGCAGCCCTCCCTCCCCCCGGAGCACTGCTTTACCGCATTATATCCGAAGTCATGTTATATTGGGTCGCGATATATTGGGGTAGAGGTGTACTTCAGTGGGCTCTGTGTAGGGCAAGGGGCATGCCTGCATGTGTGAGCTTGCAGTAGGGTGATCAGCTAGCAAGTGTGACAAATCGGGACACGTTTTTTTCTGGGGGTGGGGAGGCAGTATAGTTGCATATATAAGACAAAGCTAATATCGGGACATCTAGTCACCCTAGGTTGCAAGATCAGGTCTATGACTGTTGCAACCCAAACTGTTCCACTTAAGGGAGGGAGTATAGGCAAAACATTCAGGTAAAGGCAAAGATATACTGGACTCAGGGCCCAAGAAATCAGGGAGGCATCCGTTGAGTCCTACTGAAACACTTGATCAAATCAAACAGAAAATGGAAAAATGATGTAAAAATAGTCTCCTTTTTTCCCCCTCTTGTGGCTTCTGGGTGTCACCCCTTATTTACTTCTGCGTTAGACCCCAGCCATATGCCTGTAATTCTCATGTTATTTCTGACCAGGCCCAATCTAGGAATTTCTCGAGAACAATTTGTTCTCCCAAGATTTCCAGCCTTGTTCCTTAGCTGAGGGGTTGCACGAGAATCTAAGAACCGTTGTTATTCCATAAGGATCCAGACTGAACTGATGAGGCCTGATACCATTGCAATGAAGTCAAGGGAAGGAATTCCATTCATTGCAGCTGTATCAGGCTGATGTTCCCCTGGGACAAGACACTGAAGATACGTTAAATATACATTAATGAGCAGCAATGTAGCAAAATATAAGCAGTGATGCTTTTTTTTTAACATTCTAATTAAAAACATTTTAAAAATATCTAGGGTTTTCCCAGTGTGATGCATTTAAATAATGTAAGATGCATTTTTAACAAAGAACCTTATCAGCACCAGTTTCCTTAATGCAAAACCCTTAGACAACAAAATACTGGAAGAAAACAAGATTTTTTTTCTGAGATTCCTGACACCTGAAACTCAAATGTGAGATCAGATAACAATTGCCAAAATACTTTACCAAACATCCAAAAATATACTTTTATAAGAAGAGAATGTTTCAATCTTTTTTCCCTTCTCAAACAGAACACTTTTTTTTAGAATACTAACTCTATGCAAAGATCAATTACTACAATATTCAACAGTCTATGCATACAGGTTTTGTTCCATACCTATTACCAGCTACTGTCTAAACAAATTCCTGAAACGCTGCTTAACAATGGTCAAATCTGGATAGCTTTTCATCATATTGCATATGTTACCCAACCTCTTGAAAGCGTGCAGCACAAAACAGTAAGTTATCAGTGGAATTTAAATATACAGTGAAACCCAAATTATTTTTGGTTTGATTGTCTGTTTATTCATTTAATTAAATAAACTCCTTTGCGAGTTTGTGGTAAGTAAGCATGGAGGAAAACAAGCAATAAACACTCTTCAGAATGTCTGTACACAGCTAAAAATAGTTTAAATTATAATTAAAATAAAAAAATGACAGCAATATAACTGCACAGATACTGATGCAGTTTAGATACTGAGGCAGTTTCTTTCTGTCATCGCATAAGTTATCTCCCTGACTTTTCAGTATACATCCCTGGTATAATAATGCATTTATTGATGTCCTACTATGTATTACATATATTGTAAATGTACAAATAATAGACGACGGTTATGGTCATATTGCACAAGTTGAGCTGTTTGTTGACTTAAATTCTGTACAGAATCTGCTGTATATTCCTTGGCAAGGTCCACATCATAAACTAGTTAAAATTGTTCTAGACCAAGCTGATCTTAAAACCCTTAAGATTTGCTCTTGCTGTTGCCACATGGGCGAAATTTCCATTGAATCTGGTGGGCCTTTTACCTGCATCACATATGAAAGATTAGGCTCTCTTATTTTAGGTCACTGTGATATACTGATTGTGTGGCCAAATCCCAATCCCACTGATGTCAATGGGAATTCTGCTATTGACAGGCCTAGCATTTAACAGGATTATTCCCCCCAACCCCTGCCCAAATCTGGACATTTATATGGATAACAAGAATATTCTGAATTATGGCCAGGAAAACAACTCTATTCAGGACAGTGCTTAACTCCCATTTATTCAATATAAGCATGTGCTTTAGTGTTTTCCTGAATTGGGGCCTAAAATAGTAAATATTTTTACAAAATAGTTTTGGAACCCTCATGCTTCAGGGCATAAGCCAACATCCTACTATTGTGAGCCAGGAAGAAACTTTCCTGGAGGCAGGTTATCCTATAACTGCTCATTGCAGACTTTCTTGCATCTTTTCCTGAAGCAGCTGATACTGGCCACTGTCAAAGAGAGGATGCCGGACTAAAAGGACCATTGGGTCTGATCTACTATGGCAATTCCTCATGACTTTAATGGGATTCAGATTTTAGCTCAATATGAAACAAATCACCTCATAAGTAACAGCTTCTTGGGTTCAGTGTGTTGCTTTTTTCATCACAGTGTATTCTTTCTCAGCTCTGGTTTCTATGTGTGACAGATGGCACTTAAAATGTAAAGAAAATGAAGGGGGAAAAACAAAAAACAAACAAAATCCCCCACAAAAACAACAACCCCCCCACCTTAAATCTAAATTATTAGCATATCCTTTTGACCTTGTCATTATCCTTGATGAAGGCTGATTACTGTAGAACATCACTAGGGCTGTGAGAAATATTCACAAAGGGGTGAAATTCACCTCCGTGTAGAGAAATCAGCAAAAGGCCCATGTATCATATAAAACCCTGTTGTGAGGTCTTAAACCGGATTTGAGTGATGCATAGGATTTTATGCTGGTCCTCTGCATAGTGGTGAATTTCAGGCAAGAAAACCAGAAAACCTTCAAATTTGGAGTACTCTTTTCATTTCCATTTAGCAAAATTGCTCCAGTTCTTCACTGAAAAATGATCCTATTTTTCATGTGAGAACTTCACCTCTGACAGCTTTGAAGTTCAAAATTGTGTTCTGATGCAGATCAACGTCATGTGCTTCAGTCTACCTCAGGCATCTGCAACGTACCCACCTGTGTAATATGTAGGCATCTAATATGGTAATGAAAAGGAATAGTTTCATGCTAGTCTATAATTGGAATAGAGAATTCCCTTCCTCCTGGAGATGAGACAGAATATCTTATGGAACACATTGAGTGTAGCTATTTTGGGGGAACACGAAACTGCTATTTAGCAAAATTTGGGAGTAACGGGGAAGGTGCCAACATAGCCCAGAACAAAATTGCAAATATTTGTTCTGCAAAAGTTTGCAAATGAAAAAGACCCAAAATTCACAATTTTCACACAGTCCTAGTTGTCACTAACATGGTGCAGAAGGCGGTGTTGTCTGAGTTCAGTTCAAGATGAAAAATATATCCAGGCTATGTAGCCTTAGATAACATAGACATTTCCTGCAGTGCAGAAGCCTGGACATATAGTTATATTCTTCCATCAATTAAGCCCTTTCTTATATTCGCCTAGTTTTACATATGAGAACTTTTTGCACGAATGTGACTCTATAGGTGATATGCTAGAATGTTTTTGTGAATGATTCACCTAAAATGTTACGAATATTTTTTCCCACTGTCATTAAACACAAGAAATAAGAGACATTCTCCAATGCTTAGAAAGGCCATTTTTTGTTTGTTTGTAAGTTTAGCTTTGCCTATTCTTGTAGTAAGGTCTCTCGCCAGTTAAAGCCTCCAGTTGGTCCATGTGTGAGAGGGAGGATGGGGGGGTCTGTTAGTTGCCAAATACCTGTCTCTCCCAATTCTTCGCAGGAACAGAACCCCAAGTATGGAATCTGTCAGGAAATATTAAAATACGGAAAGGCAATGAGAAGGAATAGATCTGGAGCAAGGGTGAAGTTTTCAAACGAGCCAAGTCAATGGGACTTGTGTTCCTAAATTATTTGAGCTCCTTTGAACATTCCACCTCAAATTCAGAAGATACTTTTAATCTGAGACACAGCAGGATTCAGGAGTAACACTCAGATGGGAGCTGAGTGAATTTTTTCAGACTTAATAGTTTATTCTCTCAAAAATGCAGTGGTGGATCGCCCTAAAAATGCATGGATTTGGGTAAAATGCAGCAAATAGTTTTAGTTTTGCTGCTCCCCGCCCCCCCCCCCCCCAAGGAGGAAAAATTTTTTGAAAAAGTCATCAATATGTTGAGTTGTTGTTTAAAAAAATGTTTAATTTTAACGGTTAGGTAAATGTTTTTTTTTTTTAAACAAAAAAGGGTAAAAAAAAATTCCCAAAACAAATACAAAAAGATATTTTGTTTCAGGCTGAACTAAATATTTTGTTTGATGTGAAAAGAAATAAAAATAAAAAATTTCAGTTTTTCATTTTGGCAAGAAAAACGGATACATTTCCATTTCAAGTTGATCTGAACCACCAGATTGGAAAATCAGTTATTTGTTCATCTCTAATTCAGACATGCTTTTTAAAGCACTTCACTGTGAATATAAAATATTTGAGGGCCAGACTCCAACTTTAGAATCTCCACTAAATAACGTACAGCACATAGCTCTGTGTGTGTTTATGTCCAGGTCTTGTTGGCTGGCTTAACACTATTAAGAGTCAGTACAGCTATGGGAGAGTGACCTGGATTCTATTCTGGCTCACTTATCAACACAAGGGTCAGCTTGTGTAATAAAAGGTGGTGATATGAGAAAAAGAAAGAGCGCAGATGGATTTCCAGCTGCCTGGTTGTGTTTGCAGGCTTGGCACACAGACAACGCTATCTCCTGACATGAAGTCAAGGAAAGGGAATAAATCTGGATGCCCACAATGACATTTTTCAAATCACTTTCCTGACTATAACAAGGTGCATAAGAAGGGGGACCATAAATTGCTACCAACCCATAAGCATAAAAGTGCAGTTGAGAAATGCAGTTCTTTTGTATGCTCACTCTCCTGTTATCTGTTGCGAAACAGACTTGTAAAATAAGCCTCTTAAACCAATCGTCTCTACTCACATGATTTCTGAAGCCTGCAAAGCTCAAACAATGGATTGAATTATCAGACACTAGGAACAAAGTCTCCTCTGGCTTGTAAGGAGATTTAATTTTTTTTTTTATCTGAAGAGCTTTACCCAGAGGTAATTACCTTTCTGACCATCTGTACAAAGTCCTTGGAATTCTGAGGCGAGAGGCCCTGGAGTTGACAAGTACAGGCCTCCAGAGACGATGCGTGAGCCACTATCAAAATGTTATTTCCTGCAACAAAATGAATAAACACTGATTGTTTGGGAGTTAGAGAAAAAAGCTCTATACAGTGACAACTGTCCAAGGCAAAACCTATCAGTTTGAGGCTTTTAAAGATGGGTTTAATTTTATACAGAACAACACAGTTCATATATGTGGGAAAATATTGCTTATGAATAATACTTCTATCACTTTTTAATCTTCAAAGTGCTTATGGCTAGAACTGGTTGAAAAGTCTTTGTGCTGTTTGTTGTTTTTTGGGCAACCAATAGCTTTGTGAAGAACACACGAATTTTGGTGAAAAGATTTTGCCTGCTTTGAAATTTTTGATTTTTCAAATGATACAAATATATTTGTTTCAATTTGCTTTGTGGAAAAAAAAATCTCAGCAAAAGTTTTTTTTTTTCAATTCAAATAAAATGTTTCATTTCATTTGAAATTTTTCAAATGTTGGCCCTACTTCTGGCCAACATTTTCAAACCCAGGTTGCCTAAAGTTTATCCAATCGCCTAAATAAAATCTCCCTGATTAATAGAGATTTCAGTGTGAGCACTTCCGAAAACCAAGCCACTTTTATTCACATGGATAGGTATGGATTTGGGAGCTAATGTTAGGCACTCAGGTGTGAATATAATGCCTATATTCCTAATTCAAACTGGAAATAAGGCACAGGGTTTTTTGTAAGTGAGGATAATTAATCATTGGAACAGTTTACTAAGGGATATGGTTGATTCTCTGTGATTTGAAGTCTTGAAGGTCTGGCCTATATTAGGTCGGCATAACTAAGTCGTGTGAAAAATCCACACCCCATAGCGGCGTAGTTAAACCAACCTAAATCCCCATATAGCCAGCGCTAGGTGGATAGAAGAATTGTTCCGTTGACCTAGCTACTGCCTCTTGGGGAGGTGGATAACCTATGCTGATGGGAGAATCCCTCAGCATAGGTAGTGTGTACACTGAAGTGCTACAGTGGCACAGCTGTGCTGATGTAGCATTTTAAGTGTAGACAAGCCCTCAGCTACAACTGGCTGGCTTTCTACAAGATCTGTACCAGTTTAATCACAAGTTATTAGACTTGATGCAGGAATCGGTGAGTGAAATTCTCTGGTTTGTGTTATATAGGAGGTCAGACGAGATGATCACAATAATGGTCCCTTCCGGCTTTAAAATCTACAAATCTGAATATAATCTGGGGCTCAAATCTTTATACTGAGCATAGTGCTTGCTACACTAAGTAATACCATTATTTTAACAGTACTGCATTTGACTGGAAGCACTTCTAGGATCAGGCCTTTAGCATTAAAAGTGGGGTTTTATTGTTTTTCCCCCTAAATTCAAATTTGGCCATGTCAGTGCTGACCATTGGTTTTTCAGTTCTTAAGTGTTAGCCAGAGTGTATTTTATTTTAGAATGATTTTTTTAACTCAACATATGGCTAGTTGTAAAATTCTCAAAGAAATTCATGAGAACGACTGAAAAAGCAGAAATTGTTTTGTGTTCACCCATCTTTTCAGGAATTCTATTCAGTAGTAGACCTGGTAGAAACATTTTCATGCTGTTTTTTTTTTCCTCACAAAATTCCAGATTTTCAAAAATGCTCAACCAGCTCTATTTGATAGTATAACTTTGCTGAATCAAACAAGGTGAAAGGAAACAATGCTATAGTAATCCAAGAATCACACCCAATTCTTTCCATTTTCGAAAAGTACTTTATTAACATTAACTCATTATGCCTCAAATATCCATGTGAGATGTGTATTACCCTCATAACGCAAGAACTAGGGGTCACCAAATGAAATTAATAGGCAGCAGGTTTAACATAAACAAAAGGAAGTATTTTTTCACACAATGCACAGTCAACCTGTGGAACTCCTTGCCAGAGGATGTTGTGAAGGCCAAGACTATAACAAGGTCAAAAAAAAAGCTAGATAAGTTCATGGAGAATAGGTCCATGAATGGCTATTAACCGGGATGGGCAGGGATGGTGTCCCTAGCCTCTGTTTGCCAGAAGCTGGGAATGGGCAACAGGGGATGGATCACTTGATGATTACGTGTTCTGTTCATTCCCTCTGAAGGACTTGGCATTGGCCACTGTCGGAAGACAGAATACTGGGCTAAATGGACCTTTGGTCTGACCCAGTATGGCCGTTCTTATATTCTTATTTAACAGATAGAGAAACAGGCAGAGAGGTTAAGGCCAAGATTTTCAAACATGACTAGTGATTCTGAGTGCCTCAGTTTGTGAGTGTCCAGCTTGAGGTATCTTAAAGGATCTTGATTTTCAGAAAGCCTTCAATACCTACCCTCTGAAAATCAGGTCCCTTTAAGGAGACTCAAGTCGGGCATGCACAAATTGTCAGCTTCTTTAGAGGCCAATGTTTTCACGCTGGGTTCTCCTACCTGCTTTTTGGGGCAAATTATTTCTAAAAAAGCTTGCGAAAGTATCAGTAAACACGAACAAGTAAAACAGCTGGGGTTCTAGAAATATCCCATCCCAACGCTTTTAATGTTCGGTTTCTATTCACCATAACTGATTTCAACATTTTATTTGAAACATTTTTTTTTGGTTTTGTCCAGGTGCAAAACAAGCCTGTGCAGCAGCGATGACCAGCCTAAAGCATCCGTACTAGGGCACACAAAGACTCTCCTTCTGGTCCTGGTGGTGGAGATGGGAGGGAGGAAATGGCCTGGAGTGGAGTTGTTCCGTGGCCAGAGAAGACAGGGGAAACCTGCACAGATTGTATAGGTTGTAGGGCCTCTAAAACAATAGGGTCTCATGTGACCACTGGTTCTGGTTCTAGACAAACCTGGTAATAACAGACAATAGAATATTTTACCTAGAAATGGGCCTGAACTACACAGTTTCACCGAGATCTTGAATCCCCAATGTCTGTGGGCTGAGAGGATTCAGACATGGGGTTTTGACAGAGACAGCGGCTAGCCATTGTTGTTCAGTCCCAGAGTGCCTAATAGTGGTTTTGGATCACTATTGAGGCATTAGATCCCTTTGTACCATGGTGCAGAACAACTTACCTTTGCCTTTGCATTCACTTATGATTTCTTTCGTTACTTGATAGCTTCTACTTATGTACGTGTCGTAAGACTCTGAAACCACTAACTTGCTGACTGGTATATGAGGTCTACGGACAGAAAAATGAACACAGTAAGTTTTCAGGAGGAGAGGTTTTAAATGCAAGTTACTTAGACCCTGTACACACTGGTTGAAAACATGCATGCCAATGCCCGTGTGTTAAACAAGAAATCTCTGTTGTTTCTCTAATTCTTCTAAATAAACAACAAGGTCTAGGGGGTTGAGTTGTGTAAGGAGCATTTCCATAGGTTATCAGTGGGCTTTGAACCTTGGACTTTAAGCACCCAAGTACAGACCTCCATCTCTTGAGCTAAAGGAGTAATTCCATTAGCTGGCAGCAGTAGTTAACTGTTTTCCTCTATGTACACCAGTCACTAGAGATGGAAAGCAGCATACTTAAACAAGCATGTTACACTTGCAGTCACGTGTAATAGTAATAATAACAACACTTTGCACTTCGATAGGTCCTTTGATCAGAGAATCTCAAAGCAAGTAATTAAACTCCCCAGCACCCAGGAAAGTTTGTGAGTGATATTGACCTTGTTTTAGAGATGGGTAAAATGAAACAGAGACTGTATCTTCACTGAGTTCTTCAAATTTTCCACCAGTACAGCTCTGCCAGTGGTAGCAATGGTGGAAACTCTAGTATAGATGAGGCGCTGGTGTTATTAATCACAGTGTTGTCTAGACCTGTTCAGAGCAGGATCAGATGAAGTGGTGGTAAAAACACCAGGGGCTGCTGCTGCCTTAGAAAAGTATGGTACTGCACTGGTGGGAAATGTTTAAGACCAGCTCAGTGCAACAAGGCCAGAGTGGTTAAGTGACTTGCAGTGTGATTTTGGCCAATGAATTCAATGGGAGTGGTATTGGAGGCAAGCCATTGGAGGAGCTTGAGCCTGGTCTACACTAGGGGGGAATAGATCTAAGATACGTAACTTCAGCTACGAGAATAGCGTAGCTGAAGTCGACGTATCTTAGATCGACTTACCTCCCATCCGACGGCCGCGGCTCCCCCGTCGACTCCGCTTCCGCCTCTCGCCCTGGTGGAGTTCCGGAGTCGACGGGGAGCATGTAGATGAGACGCGATAAATCGATCCCCGATAGATCTATCGCTACCCGCCGATCCGGCGGGTAGTGTGGACGTACCCTTGGGGTGGGGGAACAGAAGGCCCTATTCCTCTCCCTGGGACACAAGGAAAAGCCCTGTCTCCTCATTCCATCCCAGGATATGAGGAAACTCCCATTGGTGTCAGAAGGAATTACTCATCTCCGACAGCAGGAGACTAGGGCTCCAGGCGTTCATCCGGTCCTCTAGTTTAACCATCAGACCACACAAGAGCAGGTTTCCTTTTTGGCTAGGAGAACATACTTTATAGTCTTCCCAGAAGCTTTGTGTTTCCTGAACTGGCTATTTTCCTGTGGTTCCACTGCTTTGCTTAGTGCTAGCAATGTGATGATACCCTTTTTGGAATAAGTGCAGTGTAAGTATCTCTATTTAGGTGCAATATGCACAATGACTATATATTTCCACAGACCCAAAAAGGTAATTTGTAGGCAGGGAGGACAAAATATAAGCAGCTATATGGTATAATTAGGCATGAAAGGATTAAAAGGGTTTTTGGGTTTTTTTTGCTTTGGTTGCTTATTTCTACTAGGTCATCCTAAAATAGAGTAACTCTGGTGTAATAGATGGATTCAGGGTTTCTGATGATATCACAAACCACAAAAAGCAGCTGCCAAATAAGTTGTCACCAAACCCCCATGTGTTGGAATTTCCCGTGTTACATTATTTATAAGGTGGGAATGATTTTACTGGACACCTTTTAGTTTGCATTTAAGATCCTTCCCTTCTTTCTAAAACAGATGGTTTACTGTTGATGAGAATTCACAATAATTCTGAGATTTCACCAATGTGACTGAGTGCTGACCAGGACCACATGACCTTTCCCTAGAATCTATTGCTGTATGGGATTTTTCAGAAGCTGTTTAGGCCTGGTCTACACTTGGGGGGGGAATCGATCTAAGTTATGCAACTTCAGCTACATAAATAACAGCTGAAGTCGACGTACTTAGATCGACTTACCGTGATGTCTTCACCACAGTGAGTCGACTGCTGCCACTCCCCCATCGACTCTGCCTGCGCCTCTTGCGGCACTGGAGTACAGGAGTTGACGGGAGAGCGCTCAGGGGTTGATTTATCGCATCTAGACTAGACACGATAAATCGATCCCCTCTGGATTGATTGCTGCCCGCCAATCCGGCGGGTAGTGTAGACATACCCTTAGCATAAATGAATCATAGATTTGGAAGCAGGAAAAACCCAGCAGGTCATCTTGTCTATTCCTTAATTCCTTGCGCGATATGTGGGACTATTCCTACCAAACTGTTTTATTTAGCATCTCTGTATGCCTTCCAGCTGTTTACAACACAGGTAGGCACTGTGCATGAGTCAGCATCCTTACATTTCAAGCAGCAACTCCCTTGGTGCGAGATGGAGCTGTGGTTAGCAGTTGCTGAGAACTTGAGGCTAAATGCAATAGTATTCGACAGCAGAAGCTGCTGGCACCAAAGGGGTTTTATAGAGTTTTGAAAGAACTGGCTGAGGAGCTCACTGGACCGTCAATTGTTGATTTTTCAATAAGTCTTGGAGCACTGGGGAAGTTCCAGAAGACTGAAAGAAAAACTCATGTTGCGCCAATCTTTAAAAAGGATGTGTCAGTTTCCTCTGATTAGAAATGATCAGAAACTTTCCATCAAAATGTTTATTTGAGGGGGAAATGGTTTTTCAATTAAATGAAAATTTTAATGAAAACATTTCTGGTTTCAGCAGTAATTTCTGAGTTTTTGCTGAAAACCCCAACCGAAACATTTTAAACTGAAAAAGTTCAGATTTTGGTTGCTGAAAAGTAGAAACAATGTTTGTTTTCAGGCTTTTAGATGAAAACCTCAAAAATTCTGATGAAAACGATTATTTTTAAAAAACCTGTTGTTGAAATTTTTCACTGGGTGGGGAGACAACACCCTTCATTTCACCTCTCATGGAGAATACTTCACTCAGAGGAGCATTTGCGAGGGTTCAGAAGTTAATGCCTGAGATCCTCTGATGGAAGGGACAACGATCAGTGCTTACTATTAAGCAGTATTAACCACTCAGCTGTATTTTGTACACATACAGATAAAAAAAGGAAACTGGAGTTGGCTTTAAAGCCTCGTCTCCTGCTACTTTACAGGAGAGGGTCGTGAGAGAAAAGAGCCTTCTCCAATAAGAGTTTCATTTGCAATAATATTGAAAGTTCAAAAAAAACATGTGTGTTCTGCATTTGTTCCAGTAACATTTAATGCTCACTTTAGGGAACATGAGCTTTTCGGAAGGGAAACTGAAGACTTATATGGGCACTTCATACCTGGCAATGTCAAATGTGGGAATGATTAAAAAGCAGGGGGGCCACTGCAGGAGCTTCTCATGTTGATTAATCATTAACTTACAATTCTTGTGGACTTTGGCTGCCTTCCCAGCCACAATGAAATAGTAGTCCAGGAAGGAAGGACAAACATCAGAGGAAAATTGAACATTAAGGGCCAGACCTTCCGCTAGTGTAAATTGGTTTAGCTCCTGGAGGAGCCTGGCCCTAAAATGGAGGCATCATAGGGGTGGACAAAGGCAGGAGTCTTGAGACCAGAGTCCTGTGGAGAGATGGCTAGGACAAAAGAGTGAGTGATTGGTGCTAGCTGGCTGGATAGGGCTGGGCTACCTGAGTCGGGAAGATGATGACGGCACTAGGAGTGGAAAGAGGACAAGGGTCTGTGCCAAGGATGCCTTGAAATTACTGGTGGATGCTAACATGTTCCTCAGCATGTTGCCAAGTGTATAATTAAGGGCCCCAACCATGCAATCAGAAACCCAAATCCATATCCAAGATTTGCATCAGTGGGGTAGCTGGGTGTGACTGAGGTCACGAGTTAGCCCAGGCTATAAATGTCCACCACAGAGAACTGACTCAGCTCAACTAGCTCTTTTATTACCTTTTGAAGCAGAGATAAGCCTGGACTGCAGAGTTCAGATCCAGAGCCCAAATCCCAAAGCTTTGAAACATGGTTTAAAAAAAATAAAAATGCAGGGCTACACCCTGGCCCATGAAATGCCCCACTTTGCACGGCTCCGCTGCACTAATGGGGCATATGAGGATTCCACGGGAATGGGGGAACCTTAGCTCAGGGGGCACAGTTTATCAAGGACATACCTAGAGTGCAGCAATTCTCTGGTGAGCCCTGGCTTCTAGGGCACCATTACTGGCTAATGCAAATTAGAGCAGACCTGAGCCTGCTCTAATTTAGGCTGGGAACTCAATAAGCTCCCAGCAGCCCCAGGGACAGTACAAAGGTAGTCAACAGCTCAGCCAGAGCTTAGGTTTGGGTCCCTGGTGTTTCGTTCCTTTCTCTCCTATGCATTAAATTTAAGATTATTCATTGCTAAGGAAACTCTGTGAGAGTGACATGCCAAGTTCTGCTACCTGTAGGTTGTATCAACACACAGATTGGCTGCAGCTAAATCCACTGCGGGTATCCAGGCAGGTAATGTGGTACCAGAGACCCATTTTGTCCACTCAAATAAGCCCGGCTCTACTCGAATCTTTAGGTTATTTTCTTGTTGCAAACCTGAAAGAAAAAAAAAAGGGGGGCGGGGAATCCCTGGAAGCAGGGGGTGGGACTGGGGACAAGAGGATTTAGGATTGGGGTTTTTCTTTTTGGTGGTATTTTGATTAGAAATCAACAGGTTCTTCTACGGGTTGGGAGTCAGGGCCAGATGTGCACAACTCCAGTATTTTGCTTGTGCATGTAGCTAGTTGACCATATATATGAATGGCAGGTATGGGCATGTGTCACGTAGGTGCACAGAACTAAAGAAGTGCCCCTCATCTAGACACAACTCTGTATTTTGTATGGAGCACTCTTTGGATTGTACGTTTCGGAGCGTTCAGAGCCGATAAGCATGCTCATGATTCTGAAGAGAAGACGATGGCAGCTCCGTGCACACCTTACGCTACCATTGGCCAAGGGAGCTAACATGTTAGCCTTTGCTTCCCAGCCCAGTCTGTGCAGCAGCATCTTTCTTGATGACATCAGCATGTTTACCGGTGAAAGAAATTAGTATTAGTTAATAGCTGCAGAGCCAGCAGGGGGAGCTCACATTTCCTTACATCACAGAGTGTTCGCCTTGGGATGGTGAAGTTAAAAAGGATGTACTGAACACTAAACGTATACATATAGTGCACCATACAAAAGATTTAAAAATCATATGTTTGGGCACCTGGAAATGGGTAATCGCCCCCCCCCCCACCTCTTTACAGGCTCACATATAAACTACAAAGGCAGTGTTAATATTATAGTAGCACCTAGAGACCAGGGCCCCAGCGTAGTAGGCACTTGTTCAAACATATAACAAAGAGGCAGACCCTGTCCTGAGGAGTTTACAATCGAAGCAATATGTACAATCTATGCCTACTAAGAGAATAATCAAGGGAAGGCAACTATTTGCAGAGGGCTTTGCTTAGTTGAAAAGCATATACCCATGAATGTTGCCCACGACCCCTGTCCCCCAGGAATATGCCCTGTAATAGTCTGTATGCTGCTATGTACTCAATAGCTCACACATGGTCCAGGGCAGTGGCTCTCAACCTTTCCTGACTACTGTACCCCTTTCAGGCATCTGATTTGTCTTGCGTACGCCCAAATTTCACCTCACTTAAAAACTACTCGCTTACAAAATCAGAGCTAAAAATACAAAAGCGCCACATTGCAGTGTTACTGAAAATTTGCTTACTTTCTCATTTTTATCATATCATTATAAAATAAATCAATTTGAATATAAATATTGTACTTACATTTCAGCGTTCAGTATAACTGTAAAACCAAGTACTGACTTTGCTAGTGCTTTTTATGTAGCCTGTTGTAAAACTAGGCAAATATCTAGATGAGTTGATGTACCCCCAGGAAGGTCTCTGTGTACCCCCAGGGGTACATGTACCTCTGGTTGAGAACCACTCATCTAGGGCATTGGAATCTGTTAGACTGAGAATGTAATGTTAATCAGGGCGCTTGGACACAGGAACTGCCATATGAAAACAGGCCATTGATCCATCTAGCTGGTATCCTGACTTCAGTAGAAGCCTCATATTGTGCCAGACTATTGTACAATGCTATGCAATGGAGGAGAGGAAAGAAAATCCATTTCCTGCCTCAGCTGGCAGTGGCTTCATACCCCAAAGCATGAGGATCCATGTCCCTTGTAACTTAAGCTGTATAGTGCAGGAAAGAGCCGTGCTGTTTTTGAGGCCTTCCATTAAACAAATGGGGTTTCTATTGCTGGCTTCCCCGGAAAACAGGAAAAATCCAGACTCTCCCCCTTGTCTGCTTCTTACCTTTCAGAATATTGTGTGCTGTCTGTACGCAGCGCAGTGACGGGGAACAGTAGACATGTTCAATAACAGTGTTACTTTCCAGCAAGGCTTCACCTGCAAGCAAAAGTTTAGCATCACTGATACAAACGTTATAGTAGACATCACAGTAATTGCAGCATGCATGCTTCAATGAAGTTGTAACATAGCAGGAAGCTAATGAAGTTCTCCAGTTGGATTGGTTATTTTTTTGTAGACCTATTTATCCATCAGATTTTATTTCAGTTGTATACTATGCTTTGTGTCATAGACAGCTGTGAAACGGTGGTACCTTTTTCTGTGCACTGTCCTTTTCAATTTCTAAGAACTCAGTCAGTGTACAGAGAGACAGCAGCCATTTTGTGCTCAGAATGGCTGTAGCCTGTTTCAGGACAGGCACACCAACACTGTGCTCTCTCCTGGAGACTTGATTCTTATTTGTTCTTGTAGATTTCTCTATTTTAGATTGCAATCTTACACTGAAAACATAGATTTGCTCTTTGTGCATGGGAAAAATATAACAGGCTTGAGTCTCATTTCATTTATACTCATGTAAATCAGGAATAACTCCACTTAACTCAGTAGTCCAGAGCCTCATCTGGTGTAAATTACCATGGCTCCATGGTCTTATTTAGTTAATCTGGTGTAAAACCAGTGGAAGTAAGATGAGAATCAGGCCCAACATTATGATTATTTATATTACGGTAGTGCCTCAGGGACCCAAATGAGATTGGGAATCCATTGTGCAAGGTGCTGTACATGTACATTCACATAGTAAGAGACGGTTCTTGCCCTATAAAAAGCTTACAATTTAAATAGACAGGCAGGAGCAGCGCCAGGGTTTTTGCCGCCCTAGGCGGCAGCACTCCTCCTCTGAGCATTCAGGGGGCCTGGGGTCTTCAGCGGCGGGGGTCCTTCTGCTCCGCGTCTTCGGGCACTTCGGCGGCAGGTCCCGGAGCAAGTGAAGGACCCGCTGCCGAATTTCCGCTGAAGATCCGGAGCGGAAGGACCCCCCGCCGCCGAATTCCCGCCGAGGGCGGCAAAATGCCATCCCCCAAATCCTGCTGCCCTAGGCGAAGCGCCGGCCCTGTAGACAGGGCAGACAAAGGGAGGGAGAATACAAGGGTTATTAATCTTGTTAAATGTTTAATTATAACTGTACGTATGTTTAACTGGTTTTCGAACCTGTGGGGAAAGCGGAGTGTGCAGCTGAAGGAGATGCATGTATGAAAATCTTTCGCCACTTGATTCTGAGCTGCTGTTTTACTAACCAGGTCACAGGATTGTTTGAAATGATAGCTCTGGGATTCTTCAAGGTCATGCTAGCATTTGTGCAGAACAGAGCTTTCGCCTGTAGATGGCAGGCATGCTGTAACAGTGCTAACAAGCTCTTTTATGTAAGGTAGTGTTGGTCATGTATACATTTCACACACAGAGACCCCTGTGAATGGTGCCAGCGAAGTGTTCTTATTGCTTCCGAATTAGCCCTTCTGTTGTGTGTATTATGAGTGCAGGTTTTACTGACCTTCCTTGAGAACTGCCCCTGCAGTCTGACCATACTATTATTATATCCCGATCCGGTTTTATTTAAAAGGCCTACATTTTTCAAAGTGTGCAGTAATCTTGGGTTCCCAACATGAGACACTTTAAAGAGGCCTGATGTTCAGAAAGTGCTCTGAAAATCCAATCCTTAAAGGTGTCTCAAGTTGGACAAACCAAAATCTGTAACATTTTCAGGGGTTGTTTCTGAACTCACCAAATAACTTACTCTCACTCTGTAAAAGTAGAGTGGTAGAAGGCTACGTATTCCCCTTATGAAACAGGCCAAGAACAGAATCGGGGAAATGCCTGATTTGACTTGAACTATACTTGAAAGTGTAAATATGAAACCCCACTGGGGAGATAAAACCGTGTTTGTGCTGCAAACTACAGATCAAAAATTAAGCTTGTCAAAATCAAGTCAGGAACATATTTTGCATACAGCAACTGTCATGTTAACTGTAATACTTTTACTACCATCATTATCAACAATCTTCCACAGTGTGGCAAATTTACAGGGCACTTTTATGTGCAACGCAGCTGCATGCCTAATTGCTTTGATTTTGTGCATTGTTCTTCCTGCCACAATGGCAGCTGAATGGGGCCAGGCTGACTTTAAAGGAAGTTCTTTTCTAATTAAATTGAAGAAACATTCTGAAGGCTCTCAACGTGTCTAAACTCTTTTAGCTTCTGGCACCTGATTGAATTTTTCCGTATTGCACTGCTCTTTCTTTTCTGGGGTGTGGGGGAGGAGATATAAATGCTTCTTGCACAAACTATTGTCTCAGCCGACGAGAGCTTACCAACAAGTCTTGCTTGTGTGCAACCAAACACGGTGATTGGTGCATCTTTTTCATAATCCCTGAAACCACCACTTCTTTGAGGTAAGCTGTGAGGCATATTCAGGTTTGTACGCATATACCTTCCTGTTAGGGGAAAGTTTAGAAGCAGGTGCTGGAATTAGTGGATGACTGAGAAAAGCACTCAGTATCATGCCCATTACAACCCTTCATTCACAACAACTTGCACACAACAGATGTTAACCAGAACTGAGCGGGAAAGGGTTTTCACGTTGTGGGAGCACTTTTCAGAATTCAAAATTTTTCCTGTTCTGAATCAGGAGGAACTATTTCATGAACATTTTCAGGATTTCCACGGCAATCTGAGAACAATTTCAGTTTGGGCCAATTGAAATATTTCATTTTGATCATTTCAAAATGTTTGATTTTATTTTGGACCTTTTCAAATTTTAATATTTTTAACTATAATTAGCTTAATTTTCTACATGAAAAGTAATTTGAAACCAAAAAATGGGGATGAATTTTTGTTTCAAAAATGTCAGGAATGGGAGGTTTTGACATTTTCAAGTTTTTTTCCAAACTTTTTTCGAAAGGTAGAGCTGACCCTTTCCCGCAAACAGGGTTGGTTTCAACGAATCGACATGTTCTGATGAAAAAAAAAAATTAATTGAAAAAATCCCAACCAGCTCAAGTACTAACTATGCCTGGAATTACTGTGGATAACTTATTACTATCAGGAATACTGAGGCTTTGTCTATATTGGGGAGTTGCCCCAATTTTAGCCACCAGGGATCACCTAATGGCATTGCTGCAAATCCTAGTGTAGACAAGGCAAACCGTTCTAAGCCGAGATTTGCTCTCGTGCCATTTACCCTGGTTTCAATTAGGATTAAGAGCTACCAGTGCAAACAGTGGCTTTGTCTGTCTGCACTTCTCGCTCCAGTGGAGTACTGGAGTCAACGGGAGAGCGCTCGGCGGTTGATTTATTGCGTCTTCACTAGACGCGATAAATCAACCCCCGCTGGATCGATCGCTCCAGAGGTAAGTGTAGACATGCCCTAAGAGTTTGCATTGGGTCCCAATGGCTGGATTGCCAATGGCTAGAATCAGGGAAAATCCCTGGTGTAGGAATGGCTTTAGCTTACAAATAAGAATGATTATGGAGAGGTTTTATTGTTTCAGTGAGATCTTAGATTCAGATGATTTCCCACCCCACCTGCAGGGCAGACCAATGTGGTGAAGCATGGTATTCATCCACCACATCCCCACCCCAAGTTGGTAGTTTGCAGTGGCTGCAACCACAGATTAATATGGATGTGGATGGGCTAGATCCACTGAGTGCCTAACCCCACTATGATACAACCCTACTTAATCAAAGGCCTAATTCAAGACTGCAGAGAAGGAGCAGATCTGTTGGTATTTCACACTGTCCCTTTCCTAACCACTTCAGAGTGCTGTTAAAATGGTATCTCAATCAGCCTCCCCCTATGAGTTACATTCTAGCGGAGTTTGCCCAGGAGACAATCCACTTAAACTTTTCTTGTGCGGTTATTACCCCCAATCTACCCCAAAAGCTAGGGATTAACCGATCCTGCAGCAACTGACTCACCTTTGGCATCAAAACACTGGGACAACCAGTACTTTCCAAACACAACATCCATTCTCTCCCCATGCCGGCAGACAAAAAGACATCGTTTTTGAAGCCCTGGCTGGCTGGTTACTCTCAGGGGCTGAAAGCAAAGTGACAGGAAGTTTGGCCATGGTGAGAATCCAAGTGCCTTTTTCTTAGTTCCAATTTATTTAAGAGTAAGGACCTAACTCTTGAATTAATCCTAGTATGAACAAGGGGCAATGGTCACTCCACTGAAGTAAATTATTTATATCAGTGTAAATGTGGTGTACATGAAAGAAGAAGGCCCTATGTATCCTTGTTCCATAGGTATTCTGGGGACAGATGTTATCTTCAGAGCTTGTGATCTGTAATATCCCCTTAAAGCCAGCAGAGAATTGTAACCTGAGCTCCCCAGCACAGCCAGTCCAATCAGATGTAGAGAATGAGCTGTTGGTGTGAAACTAGCTGCTGGAGATTTGCCATTAAAACCACGCAGAACCTGTTCTCCTGGGTTTACTTTAACAGTACCTGATGTACCCCAAGTGAGACTAGATTCCAGTGCCAAGTATGGGGAGCGAGTTTCACTAGCACAGTGAAAGCTTCGGGATTCTTAAGTTTCATTACTCCGGCAAAAAGAGAGCAGACAGGCAGAATGGGAAGATGGCACAATGTTGTGTGCAGATACTACAAACCAATTGCAAAGCTGGTCAATCTAATGTTTAGGGCCCCGTGGTCTTGACAGGGTGACCCTTTAGCTACTGGGAGGGGTGGGGGATGCTTCTGAATATTTTAAAATGAACGTACTGCTGCATTGACATCTTTGGAGAGAGAGACATATTTCATCCACAGAACAGGTATAGCACAGGCAGTGGTAGTGCAAGATTCCCCCCACATTACCCCATGTGTCTCCCTCCTGACCACCTCCACGGTTCAGTTTCTGTCTCCTCCCGCCTCCCTCTTCCCCCCCCCCGCCATTCAGATCTTTGCATTTCTGTCAACACTGGTGGCAGCTTTGTGACATGGAAAGCTGTCCGCTGGGAGCAGGACCGAAAGCAACTCATTCAATATATGCCACCAAACAGCCATCTGATTCTAAGGGCTTGTCTTGGAAGCCAGCAAGCTGGGGCATATATTTATATAACTGTCTGTGTGGACCCTTCTGCTGAGCACTAAGGGTATGTCTACACTGCTGTTAAGACACTGGCGGCTGGCCTGGGCCAGCTGTCTCGGGCTCAGTTAAGGGGTTGTTTAATTGTGGTGTAGACATTCAGGATTGGGCTCCAGCCTGAACTCTGGGACCCTCCCATCTCAGAGGGTCCTACAGCCCAGGCTCCAGCCCAGCCCAGCCAGTTCCAGCTGGATTCCAACAGACAGCTTAGCAGCAAATGACTCCCTCGTCTGTTCCCAGTCCTTAGGCCACTGAGTCCTTGTGGGCAAGCCCACCTACATTTTGAAATAGGCTGTGACTCCTGCCTTGCCAAGTTTTCTATACAACTCACCTCCAGGACCCCACCCTGCTTTAATCTGAGTTCCCAAACTCGGGGTGGCAAAGAAGTCTGAGGGACATGACCAGCATTCCTGGCGTATGGCTAGATCAGGGGAGGGCACCCGGGGGTGGGGGGACAAAGGACTCTGTGCGCTGCCCTCGCCTGCAGGCACCGCCCCCCACAGCTCCCATTGGCTGGGAACGGGGAACTGCGGTCAATGGAAGCTTTGGGGGTGGTACCCGCAGGCGAGGGCAGCATGCGGTGGAGCCACCTGCCCCACCCCACCTCCAGGAGCTGCTGCCGGACATGCTGGCCACTTCCGGGAGTGGTGCAGCGCCAGGGCAGGCAGGGAGCCATTCGAGGTAAGCGGCGCCGGGCCAGAGCCCGAACCCCTCCTGCACCCCAACCCCTGCCCTGAGCCTGCTAACCCCCTGCCTTGAGCCCCCGCTGCACCCCTTCTGCACCCCAACCACCTGCCCTGAGACCCCTGCTGCACCTGCACCCCAACCCCCTGCTCTGTGCCCCCTCCTGAACCCTACACTCTTTCTGCACCCCAACCCCTTGCCCTGAGACCCTTTCTGCACACCACATCCCCTCCCATAGCCCGCACTCCCTCCCTCCCGCACCCCAATCCCCTGCCCCAGCCCTACATTCATGGCCCTGCATACAATTTCCCCACCCAGGTGTGGCCATCGGGCCAAAAAGTTTGCCCACCCCTGGGCTAGATGGAAAGTGGAGAGGTCCTGAAACTATTTGCTGCTGTTAAATGGGGTCACAGTTTGGAAAAGGTTGAGAGAACCACATTCATTGAGCCAGAAATTGCTCAGTTGCAAGGGATGTAAAGCTGATATGATGGGGACGTTCCCTATTTATAAATGTTAATTTAAATAATCTAAAGAGGTCTACCCAAGGCTCTAGGTGCCCTAATTAAAAATCACTAATTAATATAACTAATTACTAATTAGTATTTATACTGATTGTATTACTAGTTAATATTACAACAATTCGGTTGTATTTAGCTGTGTTATTCAGTGTCATGAATCCTTACGTGCATTGTCTGGCAGATGATCGTGAGTGGCCCTGTGTCCCCAGGTCCTTGATCTTCTTGCTGTCTTCTTTCCAGAGCTCCGTCATTGAAGGTTAGAGGGGATGGGGAAGAACTGGTACTCAGAATCGAGTAAGATCTGCCACAAATAAAGAGACGCTTGCTTAGAAAATGTTCCTTTGACTTATTGTCCTAAGAGTTGTGCCAGGATGTTCCCAGAGCCTGAGACAGGGCAATAAGTGGTTTTATTATTATTTGTATTCCAGTATGTGCTTGGTGCTGTACATGCACAGAGTAAGGGACAGCCCCAAAGAACTCTACAGTTCATTAGAGACAGGGTTTCTTAACCCATGGGTCGTCACTCCAAACTGGGTCAACAGAATGTGCCCAAGGGCTGTGTGGGAGGCCCAGTGAGGAAAGTGGTTTCTGTCAAAGGGTGGCTGGCGGCCCTGCAGGAGGAGCTGTTGCAGAGCCCATGCCGCACTCCCCCAACAGCCGTAGCTCTGGTCCCGCAGGTCTGGCTGGGCTCGGCTCCCTGCTCTGGGCGTTGAGACCTGTGCAAGGGATTGTGGCTCCAATCAGGTTGACCCAGCCGACCCTCTGTCACGAAAGGGGCTAGCCAGGCCAAACTTGAGCGAGTGGCACTGTGACCCTAGACACCACAATGTCCAGAGCGGGGAGCTATACCCAGCCACCCCACTGGAAGGTGCTCAGATAGTAAGATGGTGAGCATTGTGAAAGAATTTATAGACAATAGAATAGCCCTCGGTCCAGATCACAGCATTCTGATAGCCTCCAGAAAGGCCCCTCTGCACACCCTGAGCAACAGAACCAGGGAGCTGTTCTGGGATGGAGTCTTGATTCTTCCATGAGACTGCCTTCTCCTTCACACACTCTTCATACTTGAAGTAGAAATCCCAGCTCAGAATACCCTGGAACTTGCCAGGAGGAAGGCAGGGATTATTATTATTACCATGATTTACAGTCACTCCCACCAAGTGTTGGGTACTTTCCAAATACACAAGGAATTGTCCTTGCTCTCAGGAGCTCACAGTTGAAGAGTGGAGAGATAATTAGACAGAGATTAGGGAAGATGGAAGAATAATATTCAATTTCTAAGCAGCATGGCAGAAGGGCTTTTTTTTAAGAGAGATTTACAGGTACGCAGGGCAGCGGCATACAGATGAGCTCAGGAAGGTCACACCATGCACAGGGTTGAAAGCCAGATCCAATTTTGCGACTGGCCCCTATCTTAATGATGACAATCTGAACCAAAAACTTGGATCTGAATTGTGACAGGTAAGGTAATAATACTGCAATATCCTTGGGAGACCTTATGAATTAAGTTTAAGTGTCTTCAGGGTCAATTGTATTAAATGCAAAGCTTATGTATTATGGTGGGCTGGGATTGTATGTAACCTCTCTGGATGGGAGAGGGGGATGTGATGTGAGGCTTGGGAGAGTTCAAAGGACTATATTGAAAATGTGCCAGACAAAAATGGACCTTGGGGACAAGAAGTATGAATTGGATTTCCTCAGAAATACCTAGGGAAAGGTTAACAAAAATTCCTCATCGCCAGTTGTGCAAAAACCCAGCCTTTTGAAGCTATGCCCTGAGGAGCTGAGTCATTGTCCGCTAATGAGCTGTTCCAGGAGGTTGGAGATCAAAGGCCCACATCACATAAAGAAATGGCTGAACTGCCCAGTCGAGGTTCTCAGAATCTGAGACAGTTATGAACTAGTAAACGGGGAAAATCTAGGTTGTGGGTTTTGAAGGACTGACCCCTACCAGAGCCCAAGGCTGGAGGGGGGCGGGGGGTGACCCCTGGAAAGCTTTTTAGCATGTGTGTAGATTCTTATATTGGTTTTTAAAAAGTTTTCTTTGTGATGCTTTCATCTTAAAAATTAATCTGCTTGCCTAGAAAGAGTTGTATTGTGACTTATAATTGCTGGCAATTATGTTGTTCATAACCTTGGAAGAGAAAGCAAAGCACAGAGACGGGCCTGTTTAAGCAGTCTGGCTTGCTGGGAATATCACGATGTAGGTAAGGAACTGTGCAGCCTTAAAACCATCCTAGTCAGGAGGGAGAGAGACGCAGGTCTCTGCCCAAGAGAGGTGAAGCCTCGGTGGCACCTGCTGGGTGGATCACGGAGGGGGAATACAAGTGCAGTTGCCCTGAAACTGTGACATGAATATCCCCCAAACTGCAGGGTATGGGAAATCTGCATGCTGGAGCCTACCTCTGATCCCCTTCAAAGTGACTGTCAAGCCATAGCTTCTTGCCTTTTGTGCTGAACACCACAGTGGCCGTGCTGACAAAAGGTGCAGCCGAGACCCCGTGGGAATGGGCAGCAGTGTGCAGCTGGCATATTCCTGGTCCTTTCTCAACCCTTGACGATGGCCAGCAGCAGCATTTATATCCCACGGCCTTAGTCATTTGATAGTGTGGCAAGATGCTGACCCAGGCGGATGGAAAGTGACTTGTCTAGTCTCCTGTTTTCCCTTTATCTCTGAGCAATTGCTCCATTGCTTCTTAGACTCTGTTTCTCCACCTATCCCTCCTTAAAATTCATGCAACGTAGTTGCATCCATTCATGGATGCTAGGAATGGGTAAGGATTACGATGACGCAGAAGCGAACCTCTCTGCAACCTCCAATATCTTGTGGTTGGAGAAGTGCCATAAATCTGACTTTGCCGATGTCTCCCTTGCTCTGCTGGTGACTCAAAAATAGAAACTAGTGGAGCCCATTGAAGTTAGTCATCTTCCACACATAGCTCATTATTTGGAAGACCCTAGATAAAAATATCCATTGTCTTCTGGGTGAGGCAATTATGCTCCTTGCCTTCCCCACAACATCGCTGCCAGCAGCGTTGATTCTTCCCTGGGGGCAAAGTGTGCCCTTTCCTATATAGCACTGGAAGGCAGGATCTGAGGAAAGGCTGGCCAAAGGCATCTCTACCAGTTTTGCTGACGGTAAATCCCCTACAGGCTTTTGGGGGAGGTGGGAGAGGAAAGGGAGTGTTCCTTCAATGTCCCCACTCACTGGAGTTTAGAGGAGATGGGAGCAACAGCCAGTGGATCCACCAGCCGCTGCAAGCTGTAGAATGGGACTGCAAGAGTGGAAGGGGCTACTGAAGCCCAAGTGGTGACTGAGTGTGGCTTGGGAATTGAGGATTTCTTCTCTATCCTCCTGGACCTTGTGCCAAATCTGGCTTGTTGAAGGAGGCCAGGAGTGGCTTTGGCCCTATAAGCGAGAGCAGAAATAGGCAGCCATGTAATATCTAATGCAGCAATTTGCAAGTGCTGCTGGTATGAGGCTGGGGGAGGAGAGTACTTCTGCCTTTGCAAACAAGATAAACCTCTCCAGCCAAGCAGCTCAAGCACCTACCAAAGCCTCCAGCTTCAGCAGCCTCCACTTGAGCAGGTCTGAGTCCACAGAACGACAATGGGCGGGTTTCTACAGTCCTGTCCCTTTAAGTTCACATATGAGAGAGACCCACAGTGCTGAGTGTCTGGTTTTGTGGCTCCTGTGGGGAAGCTGCCTATAACTAGCTTTGCTGGGCTTCCCACTTCCCTTCCAGTCTCCAGACACTGCTGCGGGCAGGGAGTTTCTGACTCTGAGTTGGCAGTGCAATAATTCACAGAGACGAATGGGTGCTTAGGGAGTAGCCTGCAGACAACTCTCCTCCAGAAAGGACTTGGGACCAGTTATTTTTTTGGGGTGTGGCTTAGATTGGTTCCAAGTTGTTACAGCACAATAGCACTGTTAGAAGGAAAGGACCTAAGTCTTTAAATAATGCAGGATGGGAAGCACTTTGTTATTGCAATGCTTATGGCCAGACCCTGAGCTGGTGTAAATCAGGGTAGCTCCACTGAGGTCTGTACAGCTAGACCAATTCACACGACATGAGGGATGTGGTCCTTGTTTCCTATGTTTTCCTCCTCTGTGTGATTCAAACATGCTGTGGCGTCGGTAACAGAACAGCCATTAGGTTACATTTATTGCAAACTCCAAGCTTTCTTCTACATTCCTCACTTTGGGGGGCACACCAGCAAAACATATTAAAGCAAAACCAAAGACGCCCGATTCCATTATTTCTTCGGTTCTTATATGGCTCCTGTTGTAACTGAGCACCGCCACCACCTAAATTTGAATGCATTCGCCTCCACAACATGCCTGTGAGGTGGGGAAGTGCTATTATCTTCATTGTACAGATAAGGGAACTGAGACACACAAAGACTAAGTGGTTTGCCCAGGGTCACACGGGATGTCGGCGGAACAAGGCATTGAGCCTGGGTTTTCTGAATCCCGGGTGAGCATCCCCACTACTTCACCATCTCCTTTATACTAGTGTAAAATTGGCCGTCACTCCCAAAGTCGCTGGCGTGACCTTGGTGTAAAACTGGTGTCGGAGCATCGGCTCTGCCCCGAGTTCCAGGCCACCAGCTGGAGCGCAGCCCCCATCGGCTTCAGGGGAGAAGGGGAGTGAGGGCAGGGCTCCTGGGAAGACCGTGGGTGGGGCCACAGCCTGGGTTAGGGGAGGCTTAGCCTCCACTGACCTTCGATACCCACCGCCCGTGGACATACCATAATTTTACAGGGCTGTGTGGGGGAAGGGGTCCCCAACCATGGGGCATAGAGGTCCTCAGGAATTGCTGCCCTGGCAGCTGAGAAGTGATCCCACCGTCATTCTGCAGCCTTTGGGCATAGAGAAGCTTCCATCCATGGAGCCTCCCATTACACCGCCCAGCTGGCCTGCTCTAAGCACATCCTATTGCACTTTATTAGGCAAACTAGCCAGGCCTGCTGTTCTTAGGCAGAAGGGGTGGCCTAGTGTTCTACGGAACTCTGCAGTGGACTCTCTAGAAGATTGTGAGCTCTTTAGGGCAGGGGATCACCTTTTTGTTCTGTGTTTGTACAGCGCCTAGCACAATGGGGTCCTGGTCCGTGACGAGGGCTCCGATGCACTACCATGATATAAATACATTAATTAATAATTAATAAAATGCAAGTCCTGCAGAGCTGAATCAATCTCTTCCAGCTTTTGTCGTTTACTATATTGGCAGAGTAAGGGAGGGGAGGAAAAGAGGGAAGGGTCTTTCAGAGGAGACCTTCAAAACCAGGTTATGCCTGGACACTAAAGATCCTATTTTGTAGGACACGGGGCTTGCTTCGATGTCCTAGGTTAAAATTTGTCCTCTCCTGATTGCTGTGTGGTGCAGCTGGCTATCTACCAGGATGCTGGCCAACACCCCAGCAATGGCTACTTTTCAATGTGTACAAGGAATTTGTTGAAGGCGCTTCGGCATCCATTTGGGATGGTACAGGCTATATGATCAAAAAGTATGTTTATTGTGATCAGCAGGAAAATATTCACTGTCATTATCACTTTTATCCAACTCCAGGGCTGCCCAGTATTCTCGGTGTGAGCCCCAGTTTCGTCGACATGCCACCTGTTTCAAACCCCTTGGAACCTGAGCACCTCTGAATGCCTGACACATGGATCATAACTCAGTGAACTGGGTTGCCATTTTTTCCCAGGGCGGATCCGTAGTATTGCAGTGAGTATTTCTATCTATGTTGACTTTCATTGGCAATGCTGAAACCCAGGGCCCGTGTGCCTGAAAAGATAGTCTGAATGCCTAGAGGCTTTCCAATTATTATGAAAATCCAGCCTGCTGTACATTGCATTTGGGAGTTGAGCTTAACTTGTCCTAAGTTTGCTTTCTTCTAAATGGCACTTTATTACCTAATATGCACTGTGGGAATCTGTTATGTAAAATCGGTCTGTTTCTGAGTAAGTAAGAATGTTTTTGATAAATGCTCCATATTGCTTTGATTCATTATTTATGTTCTTTAATGGTAATCAGGGAAAGGGGCATTTCCTTTCTTCCCTTTCCTGGAGACAAAGAACTGCTGGAATTGCCAAACTTTTGCTTCCCTTTTAGTTACTGTAATATAATAATAATATTTTTTTAATGTATTGGTGCCCAGGCCCAAAACTCCTCCAGGAACCTTGAGGAAAAATGTAGATTTCAGAATAAAATAGGCCAGCTTGCTATAGAATAGCGTCAGTGTGCGAACACAGATGACAAGCCCATTGCAGTCGGTGAGGTTTTAGTGGAGAAAGGATGGTCTTGTTAGGGAACTAGACTGTATGGGACATTCCCACCTCAGCCACAGACTTTCTGATTAACCTTGGTCAAATCATTTCAATGCTCTATGCCATGGTTACCAGAGATGTTTCCTCCACTCATGGGGGTGTTGTGAAGATGACTTCATAACTACTTGGGAGGTATGGTGATATTAGATGGATGGAGCGGTACCATGTAAATACCTGCACAGAGATCTAGAAAGGTTTGCCCCATCTGACTGCAATGTGGAAACCATACGTCAGCAGGCCTTGTCTCATGGGGAGAACTTGGTAAAGTATGGATTAGAGCAACATGACAGACACCTGCAAAATGTGAGCCCTTCTGTTTTGAAGTTGTATGTTGGTGCCCACCTGAGAGAATGCGGCCTTTGGGTTTGGGGGAATTCAGGTCCTGTGTGCAAGGTGTGGTAGTCATTTGCATTGATATGTCGGTTCAAAGCTGCAAAATGAAACTAGCCATTGGGTGTTCATCTGTTACTAACCGCACAGTATGTGACTAAAACTGAAAGGGTAAAAAACAAACAAAAAACCATCCTGAACCTTTCTGTTGTTTTGTTTCTTGCATTTCACTCAACTTGGAGATTGCTTTGGTCGGTTTCTTTTTTTATTCCTAGTCAGTTTCATGCTTCTGTCTCTCTTGTGCTAACACCATGGCCAGCACTGGCTTGTTAACTCTCCCACCCTACCCGCCTTTCCCCAGAAGACTTGTGTGTCCATTGAAGTTTTAAATAAGACATGCCTACATTTGATTTGTAACTTCCTCCCAAAAATGTTGCAACTTCCCCCACCAAAAATTTAAAAGTTGGAGGCCAGATTGTGGCTTGGATTCTGCAGGGTGCAATGCCCCATTAGAGGGATAGTGGGCAGGAAGATGCTTTCCTTCTCTCCCCTCCCTCATCTTGTGTCGCCATGTGAGGGCTAGTCACAAAGGGCCAGATTTCCCAAGGTATTTAGGCACCTAAAGATGCAGACAGGCATTGGTTTCAATGGGAGTTAAGTTCCTAGGTGCTTCTGAAAATTCCACTAGGCAGCTAGCTGCCTAAATACCTTGGGAAATCTAACCCAATCCTTGGTCCTTATACTCAGGCATCACACACAATGGCACTAACCTCCCCAGAGAGATGGTCTTGCAGGAATGCGCACTCTGTGTCATTCCATTACAAAGGGAGCTGCAAGGAACACTATGGCTCATGCTCCTGGTCTTGCCACTGAGAACTTCTTTATGGGACAGCACACTTCATAATTCCCCACCCCTCTTACTGCAAGGATGTGCCTTTACGGCTGCCATCTCCCTCTGGCCCTGTAATAGTTGGTGGTGACCCTTTGAATAATGTTGCTGGAACACCCTGAGTAGTTATATTGAGTTTCTGGTCCCATGAAGAGGAACAGAGCCTGCTTTTCCTTTTGTTCAGGTGAGTGTTTCTGTGGCTGTATGTTCCTCCCAACATCAGTGACAAAGAGAGACCTTGTTTACTCTACTATCATTTGCACTAGGTGAATCCCACTAGCTGAATTCCACTGTCGCTTCCTGCAGCCAGAAACTGGCCTGAGCATTGCTTACCCATGAAACACCCAGGTCCCGCACTCGTCTGCCTTCGTGATGTAATTCTCAGGCAACAGCCCAGAACAGCCGGTCGCTAGGGAAGTGCCATAAATCCAGCCCTCGCTGGTGCTGGTTTGCTCCACCGGGGACATAAAAATGAAATCCCCTGGAACCAGCTCAAGCTCGTCGTCATTCTGTGGGATGTAGGGATAGATCACTTGCAGTGTCTGGGGAGACGGAGGAGAAAGAGAGAGCGTGTGAGAAGGGCATTACAGAATCCTGGGCTACACGAGAAGGCCGAAGGAATGAACTCGCATATGCCTCTCCCCTGCTGTCTGCTACCTTCACCCCAACTAGACAATTAACCCTTCTTACACCAGTAAAAGAGAGAGCAAAGGAGAATACAGAAATAAATGATAGGCATTAAAGATGGAAAAGCCTTGTGAGATCACCCAGTCCCACACTCCAACTGCTGCAGTCTCAGCTTTCTGCATTGTATTACCTAGTTCTAGTGCTTTATCCAGTCTAGTTTTTAACAGGAGGTCAGAGTAGATGATTACAATGGTCCCTTCTGGCCTTATATATCTACAAAAATCATCTTTAGAATGTGCTGTCTGCCACATCCCATCGGGAAAGTATTCAATCCTCATTATTGGGAAGTTTTCAGTATTCTGTTTCCATTTGCCCCTTTCATCCCCTTGCTCCTAGTCATGCTGCTCCTTGTGCCATCCTAAATAATCCCTCCCCTTCCTTGTTCTCCGATTCAGTAAAAAATTTAAGCATGTGCTTAACTTGAAGCATTCTGTTGACTTGGGCCTACTCAAGTACTTAAAAGTTAAACACGTGCTTTGGTCCACAGTTGAACTGGGGACTTGGTATTTACACACACAAGGTTCCCAAGGATCTTCTTCTATGTGTTTACTTATGTTCCAGTTAAAACGCATTTTTCTTCCCCATTCTTTATTGGCTTTGAAAGTGGGGCAATGACCCTTTGTCACTGAGCTAATACATTTGAACTCATGATATTCTGCTCTTTATGAGGACATTAAGAAAACAAAATTAAAGGCACTGAGGAGTGTACTGCCTAGACCATCTCATTTTACAATTATTTCTTAAGATGAATGGGCTCAGGTTTCAAAGTAGGCAGAGAAGTAGTGAGTAATTAGAATTCTACTTCTGTCTGTTGCACTGTGATGTGATGAAAATATATATCCCATTTTGTGTGTTCATGCTTGTTTGTGTATTAGATGTGCACACAGGTGCATGTATCGGGGTGTGAGTGTACAAATATAACATGTAATATTCAAGAGAGCATGGATGGGATTTACACAATTTTTGTTTTGTTTTGTTATATGTTTACAAAAGGGCAAAAAGCCCTGTAAAACTGAACAAAAAATGTTCTTATGGGGGGGAAAAATTGCTTTGAATGCGATTGTGCTGTTCCCTTCTGCCAGCTGGGAGCTAGACTGTATTGTAGGTCATGAGACAGAATGGCAAGTAACCTTCTTTGCTAACTCAAGTGGAGTCAAATGTTGATCAGTAACTTTCCTTGTAAATACCCACAGTCATCCTCCACTTCAACAAAAGGCTTGTTGTCTGACTTATGCACTAGTAACTTTCATCGCAAAGCAAACATCTAATGAGCAACTGTGTCCTTTTTATGTACCTTGCATGCTCCTTAAGGAAATGTGACTTGTCATGCCCAGAGCCGAATGTTGCTCCATTGATTCTAGTATCCTGTTTCTGGCAGTGGCCAGCATCTTCAGAGGAAGATGGAAACTAGTCACTGTCCCTTAATATCCCAAAGCCAAAACTTCCACGCTTGGGCGTGCCTAAAGCTGCACACTTAATAAAAGTACCTGATTTTCAGAGTTTCTGAGCATTTGCTACTTCTACTGCAATCAATACGAGTGCTGGGCATATAATTTGGTCTCTCCTATTCTCTCCCTGTGGCACATCATAATCTAGTTTTCTGTGGGCTGTGATACTTTGGTCAAATTTCAGCTGTGGGAATTAGTGTGCAGGTGGCGGGTGGTGCTGGTGGCCTGTGATGTACAATAGGTCAGACTGGACGAGTTGGTGCTCCCTTCTGGGCTTAAATTCTGAGAGTATATCTGGATTCTGGCTCTCGCACAGATGCCTTGGGGAACAGGCTGAATCTCTGTAAACACCTTGGGACAGGGCCTAGGATGTGCCTTTGTAACTGAGCGGGGCCTGATCTCAGTTTGGAGCTTTGCAGCAATGCTGAGATACAAATCAACCGCAGCCAATTGCAATTATAGTTGATTGCTTTCTTTAAAACTGAGATGAACTCCAAAAATTACCTCGTGGTTAGCAAATCTTATATCTCGAGAGAAGATTGCGGCGACCCAGTCGCATCCTAGCTTGACGTCGATGTTCTGTGCTAATTTCTCCAGCGTGGGCAAGTGGCTGGTTTGGAAGTGGTAGGCCAATGTCACGTGCAGCTGTTTCTTATGGGGTTCTACATGCACATCTGAAATGAGAAAGATGCGATCAACAGCAAGCGACTGTCACATTGAACAGCAGACTCTTGCTCCATTTTCAAAGGCATTCACCCCATTAGTGCAGGAGAATTGAGCAAAACCTTTCAGTTAGCAAAGGGAAGACAAATGGCAGTCTGGTCTCTGAAATCAAACCTATAGCGCTGCGCACTGGTAATGCACCATTGATCTGAGTCTGACCCTTAGGAATTAGATTAGAGGAGCATTTGGTACCAGGGAGGACAGGGGTGCTTCATGAAATCTTGTATAACCCACTGCCTGTTGAGTCTGCGTTATGCTTCCCCAGCCTGTGTGCCTGAGGTACAGAGGAGACGAATGTGCGACTGCCTGCAGCTCCAGGGTTTAGCAGTCCTTTGGCTCAAGCTACAGAGGATTATGCTTTTAGCTGTGGAGGTCCCAGGTTCAGACTTGACATACTTGCCAAACGTGAAAATCTCAATTTTGAGTTCAGAAAACTAATATTTTTGATTGGGAGGTGGGAATTCCTGACATTTTTAAACCATTTGGGTTTGCAAGGCTGTTTTGATTGAAAAATGTCATTTTCTAGCTAAAGGGCAGCCTTTCCCCCTACCTAAGGGGTTGAGGATCTCTCCAAAAATAGGCTGATCAGAGAGGGCTCCTGCATATGGTGCAGGTCTGATGCTCAAAGGTGATGAGCACTCTCAAACTCCTATTTGACTGCCTCTAACATGGGTGCTCAATATTTCTGAAAAACAGTCAGTGGTTTGTTTTTCTTCTTAATTCCCCCACACTAGATCTTTTCTTTCCTGGCCTCTCCACTCTGTATTTTCTCCAGGGCCGGCTCCAGGCACCAGCCCAGCAAGCAGGTGCTTGGGGCGGCCAACGGAGAGGGACGGCACGTCCGGCTCTTTGGCGGCAATTCGGCGGCGGGTCCCTCAATCCCTCTTGGAGCGAAGGACCAGCTGCCAAATTGCTGCCAAAGACTGAAGTGACGGCGGTAGGGCTTTTTTTTTTATTTTTCTTTTTGCTGCTTGGGGCGGCAAAAACCCTGGAGCCGGCCCTGTTTCTATCTGTTCTGTCTATCATCTTCTGCATCCATTACATTTCCCCCTCTCCCGCTCTGTGCCTTTTTTCCTCCCACAGGTGGAGAACACAAACCTGGGAATGTTAGAGTTCATGTTGAAGTTGAAATATTCAGGTTAACACAGCTCGACGTCCTGGCTCCACTGAAGTCAATAGGAATTTTGCCATAGACTTCGGTGAGGTCAGGACTTCACCCACAGTACTGAAGTATTTTAAAATAAGCCAAACAGAGTTTAAGGTGAGTCGGGGAGTACTCCCAGGATAAGAGGTGAAGCTACTGAGAGAACCTACATAATGAAGGGATTAAAAAAGGTGAACACACAGGTGAAGAAATGAGGAAATGCCAGAAGCTGGGAATGAGCGACAGGGGATGGATCACTTGATGATTACCTACTACTTCATTCCCTCAGAGGCACCTGGCATTGTTTACTTTCGGCAAACAGGATACGGGGCTAGATGGACCTTTGGTCTGACTCAGTCTGGACATTCTTATGTTTTATACAAATCATAATAAACAGAACAGTTCAAACTGGAATACATTGTAAAAATAACTTATTTTTCCTGATTCAACCACATCTAAAAAATAGGGACAGACCAAACGGCAGGCATTTGGAGACTTGGTTCCAAACCCAAAATATCAGGGGCTTGCCCAACCCATTTGAATCTCTCTTATTCGGCAAAAAAGGACACGTTACAGGGGTGATCTCTGAAAAGGGCCTGGGACATCGAATGTGGGTACGCGACATAGCAGTGTGCTAGCAATGCACCCTTAAGAATTAGCTCAGAGGAATATTTGGTCTAAGAGGGAACAAATCTCATGGGAACAGGCTGCCTTGAGATGGTTGGTGCTCGTTCCTTTTTCTGGTTGGACTAGAAGCAGTGAGGGCAGCCATTCGTGCTGTGTTAAATTGCTCAAAGAAAAAGCAGGTGTTTAAAGCTTACAGCCATTTCCTCCCTCTCCTGAAAGTGATCGTGTCTCTAGGTCACTGTCAGGTGAAACTCCTGGGGACTCAGGACAGCCTGCATTCTACAAGGCCAAGTATATCTACTTTGTTGTTGTTGTTTTAACTATGGCACCTAAATGGCGGCTGTTCTGAGTTCTGGATGGGGGCTTGCAGCTCTACTTCCGGCCACTATGGGGTGCTGGACCAGCAGCAACATACTCCTGAGAGTCGCAAGTTCTAATCCCTCCCCCTTCCCCATATGTATGGAACTGCTGTTTTGATGCATTTTAACCCAGGTGGTGTAAGCCTATGAAAATCTAGGACCGTCTTTTGCTGTGTCCAGTTTATGCTGGGTGCAGCAGGGGTGGGGAGGGTGGGATGGCAAGGAGCTGGTTACAGCTCTCTGATGCTCTGCTTCAACCTTGTTGCTGTTCCCTCAGGGGCTGTATAGCTGCCGGGGATCGCCAGAGCACATTGAGCTGTGGCCACTCCCACTCCATCCCCCTGTCGTGCTCCCTGCACCAGGGCAAGGAGGCACCGGAGTCAGTTTTGCTGGTTCTGTGCCTGCTGGCCACTCCCATGTGCCATGGGACACTCCAGCAGAGGATTAGGCAGGTTTCTCCTCCCTTTGCATTAGCTAAGTGATGGTAAGCAGGCCAGAGAATCTGGTCCCCAACATGGTATGGTGAATTTCCTCTGGATGTACAAAGGCTGAAAGGGGTTTCCCTTTGGTTGCTGAGGTATTTTACACATCTTCACATAGAGCTGGGCTTGCTTCCGGGAAGCAGAAATGCTGTAAGAAAACTAAACGCACTTTCTGTCCTTGGTGGGGGAAAAAGCTTGTGCCAGCGCAGCTTGTGGTAGTGAGCTGAGCAGGAAATTCTAGCCTCATAGACAAAATGTCTGTTTGAAAGGTTAAAGAACTGTCAAATGTCAACTTCCCTTCCAGGAGATAACACTTCAGAGCAAATGTGATGTGCTCTTTGAACTGAAGACAATAGGTTCTGTGAAGAGGCACTGAAACCCCAGAACACGTGGTGGGGTATTCCTCGCTCGTCTTCCTAGCCCTGGAACCTCGCTTAAAAATCCAACATCACTTCCCTGAGCTTGAAAGCCCTATTTCTGAATGGCATCAAAACTTTTGCATCTGAAAATGCTCTCTGGGGCACCTAGGAACATAGGAATCACTAAAGCAGAGCAGAACAATGGGCCATCTAGCGTCCTATCTCAGACAGTGGCCAAGGCTGAATACTTCAAAGAAGGCAAAATTCCCACCTTCCCAGACCATGCACCAAACTGGGCAATACAATTGCATGGAGGGTGCCAGGAGGGTAGATAACACAGACACTAACTAGGCTCCTGATTCAGCAAGGCACTTGGGCGCCTGACTAACTTTAAGCACGAGTAGTCTTACTGATGTCACTGGGCTAATTACCTTCCTGTATTGGGGACGGTCTTCCTTACATCTCTCCCCTCAGAGTCGAGAATAGAATTCAGGAGTCCTGACTCTCAACTCATGCTCTAGCTACTAGATGTCACTGCTTTTCTGTGGACAGCATTAAAAAAAAGCATCTTTCTCAGCGTGCCTCCTGTTAGCCTAGTGTTTTGTCATTGGCTATTCACTGTAAAATGTCAGGCCTACCAAAGACGACGGTTAGTGTGCTGCCATGAAAACGATGCCCGTTGAAACAGCCATTACGGGATAAGTGATAGGCTAAATAAAATGTATATCCTAGTCCCTGGCATCTTGGATTACACTACAGTTATTCACTGGACAAAATCAGCTATTTGTTTTAATGGTCACTTACTTAAAAGGACATCCTTTATGATCAAGCTCTTTCTTAGCATGAATGAAATATCTTGACAGAAGGGGAATGCAATTGTAAGAAGAGCATGTTTTGGGGAGGGTAAATTTAGTGTGAGGACCAGTCTTGGGAATCAAATTAATTTATTTAGTGTCAGATCCTCAGCTGGTGACTTGGGAGGAGTTAAATAAATAAATAAAATAAATAAATTAATGGAGATATCCTATCTCCTAGAACTGGAAGGGACCTTGAAAGGTCATCGAGTCCAGCCCCCCGCCTTCACTAGCAGGACCAAGTACTGATTTTGCCCCAGATCCCTAAGTGGCCTCCTCAAGGACTGAACTCACAACCCTGGGTTTAGCAGGCCAATGCTCAAACCACTGAGCTATCCCTCCCCCCAGTTTTGCCAGTTTACACCAGCTGAGACTCTGGCCCTTACTATTTACCACAAAAGGGATACTGTGCAGGGAGTGACACTGCCCCACTAAAAGTGCCTCAACCCTGATTTGGAAAAGACCACTTCTGGGGGAAAACAGTCTAGTCTCTCTTCCCCACCCAGTCTAAACTGCTAACAAGGAGGCCAGTTGTGGTGTGGGCATCTCTCCCTTAAGGATTGGACTCTGATTCCCAAACAGCCCCATCCTAAGTTTTTATCAGGACCTTCTGGCTAGACTTTGGCAGCACAGTGGGTGCATTTTACCACGACATACCAGGAATATTTGGCACTAGTCAAGATACAACACTTGGAGCCCCTAGAGCTTGCCTTTGACATTTATTTCCTGTGTACTCACCCACTTTAGAAGCAGCTTCTGTAGCAAAGTCCGCCGCAAACTTCTTGAGGACCTCAGCGCTGTCCTCCTTGACGAAAAGCCCAATGAAGTTCGAAGACGTGTAGAGTTCTAAAGGCAGGGGAGCAGGGAATTTGCATTTCCATCGCATCACTGTGGCCTGCAGGGCTTCATTGAGCGCATCAATCTTGCTGTCTTCGCACTGCCAATGGAAGCAGGACAAATGTTCCTTAGGGGTCAGGAATTCGTTCACTGGGACCGTATATACCCTTGGAGTGTACTCAGAGAAGAAAGGAAGGGTTCAGGGTGATGGACCTGAACGGTTTTACACCTTGGGCTTTCATCAAAGTAGAAGAATGTAAAGAACTAGCATATACCTCAAACAAAATGAAACAAGCAAGAGCTGGGTGAATACAACAAAAACTCTTCCATGGATGTGCATTCAAATATTTCAGCTAACCAACTTCAGAGGTATTCACTCTCCTGTTGCATTTGTTGCATGGCCTAGTTGTTGGGGTTCCCCTGAGACCTCTTCCATTTGGTTCCCTAAGAACTCATCTCATCTCTCGTCTTGTCACTCAGGCTCCTTTATTTGGCATACAACAAAGCTATGTTGAGTTGATTAGATTCAAAAATAGGAGGTGGGTGTAGGCGTACCACACACCCAAAATTACAGGGCAAACCTCTTCCTTTACATATGTTTACCATTACATTGCATTTACTATACATTACATTTTGGGATTGGCTTGGTCACTTTATAGGAACCAATCCCAGGACCGCATGCACTGTCCATACACAGCTTACTCTTTACCTCATCTTATGTTCCAGGCTTATCTTATGCATTGTTATCTTGTCCATTGTAAATGGCTCCCTGGGTGTTCCCCTTTATTTTAGGTAGTACAGACATTCTGTTTCAGATTGCTGATCCATTTACCTCCCTAATCTTGTCTCCCAAGAAATAAAGCCTCATCCATATCTAATTACTCAGGTCAAGCCAGGCCTGCACCAGTGATTATCATGTTTCCAACATGCCCATCCACTTAGTAGCCTTCCAAAGTTAGTGACCCTCTAGGAGGAAGAACTAATCCCCTATCTCTTTCTTAGAGGTGTCTTGCTCTTCGATTTTATTTTTCAGAAGTTTTACCATAGCCATTCTTATCTAGTCAAATACCATGACAAAGAAAACACAGCAGGAGTACAGCTTTAACATTAACACAGTATGAAATATTCATAGATAAATACTCCTGAGTGTTTATCTAAGATAAATAATTCCCTAACATCCCATGTACCCTTCCCCCCAAAAAGAAGCATCAGAAGCCCAATATAGCTGGAGTCTCTCTGTAAAGCTCAGAAGAGCTCCATTCATAGTTGGCGCTTGTGCCTCTATAGGTTAGTGTTAGTTTTTTTTTGGTTAGCTCAGTCAGCCAGTCAAAGAATGTGTGTGTGGGGCGGGGGGTAGCAGATTTCCCTTTCTGTCAAATGACTCTTTCAGTCACTAAGTGCTGCAGCAATCCATTTCCTGGCATTACTCAAACAAGATGGATCTCCTAGAATGCTCAAAACACAGAGGCTTGAGGTGGGGGAAACCTCTACCCCGGTCGCCTTAGAGCACCAAACACTTTCTTCCAAAACATGAACATATTTTGCCATTCAAAGACTATCCGAGACAGGTTTGCATTGGAACTGTCACAGCTCCAATATTTGCTAGGTGGGGTGAGTCCAGCTTTAAGCAATCACCCAGGTGACCAACAATATCTCTTTAGAATTTTGTTCTGAACGAAATGCAAAACCAGAACTGGATGTTCTGCACAGACGATGCCAGATATTGTCCCACCTGTCAGAGCAAAAGGAAATGTTTAGCATCTTCTCCCTTTTTTCTTGCATGGTACAGTCAGTAGGATAAATCAAGGAGTTCACCATTTGTATGTGTTACCCACAAAATGTTTTTGGCTAACATACTTTTTAAGGTGCACTTCAAGTGGATTGTTTGTTGTCTGCCAACAGTTCCCCAGCTCCTTTATAATTTTGAGTCAACGCTTATTGTAGAAAGGACCTTGCTCTATTGGGTAGCTGGTGTTTATCATGAAGATACATGAAGCAGGCTAAAGATGTTTGTTCAGTAATCTCTTTTATGGTTAATGTGTCCCTGGTTAGCCGGGAGGATTTGAGTTTTGAGCTATTAGCACATTTTAATAGGGGTTATTCCACATTGGTACCGAAGGAGAGCTGGGGAGATTAGAAGTGGTTATGGATTTGATTTTCTTTGGGGAAAGGCCAGCCAAGCAAAGAATAAGATTGTGATATGGCTGCCCTAAGAATCAAACACTGGACTCCTGGAGGAGCATCTGTGTATATTTTGCCTAGTGATGCTATGGTGATGAGAACGTTAGCGCTGCATGTGACAATCGTTAAGACCATACTGGCGCCAGTCTGTGACTGATACTGATTTAGTACAAGGGACTCGTGAATTCTCTTTTGAGCTCTGCCATTCATTTACTGTGTGACCACGGGCAAGTCACATTACCTCTCTGTGGTTGTTTCCCCATCTGTAAAATGTGTAGAGTGACACTTCTCTGCTTCAACAGGGGGAACTGCGAAGCTTAATTAATGCTTAAAAAGATCTCTGGATAAAACACCGTATAGAAGTGCAATGCATCATTGGCTTCCAGCAGGACACCATCTCCTAGAACTCTAATGAAAAATGAGCAAACATATTTTTCAGAGGAATTCAGTGGCCTAGTCTCCAGTGATATTATTCTGTTAAGACAGTGGTGGCTTGGAATGGACTTGTTTAACAACCATTTTGCTTCCCAGCCTGGTGTGCGTCAAGCGAACCCAGTAATAATATTCCCTGAATTCCCTCGAGCACAAAGCATTTTACGATCACTGGAGAAATATGTAACTCAACCTGCCTGAACCTGGTAATGGTTGCTGCCAAACAAGATGCCCAGGACAATTGAATGAGAAGCACTGGCTCACCATGAAGAACTGGCAAAGAGTAATGTGTGGGAAGATGTTGTGAGCCTTGTTCTTCCCACAGATCTGCTTCGACTGCTGCCAGAAATCAGAGAGCTTCTGAGCCAAGGGGCCGGTGGGGCGCAGGTAGAGGACATATTCCCGAGGCAGGGGGTCATCAAGGAATGGGTCCCCCACATGAGAGAACAACCTGAGAGAGAGGAGGGAAGAGGTGGCTATTTAAGAACGGCAGAAACCTTGAGTAAGAGTTTAAATAAAAAGACCCATATTTTTGTAGCAGAAAGAACCAAAATTTGAGTTCTTCCCCACTCCCCATATGTTACTAGCCTGGGGGCCACTGATCTCCTAGGGACCAGGCATGGAAATGTACAATTCTGCTGTCTATATGTCCAGTGTGGCCCAGTTATTATTATTAAGTAGGGAGGAAGTCTGTTCTTTCAGTTAAGACCCTGGACTGGGACTCAGTAGACCTGAGTTCAGTCTTTGGTTCTGCCATAGGCTCTTTGGGTGACCTTGTGTTAAAAGTGCTTCATACTTTTGGGTACCCAATTTGAAATATATTAAAGGGGCCTGATTTCCAGAAGGCAGAAGTTGCAGTACTCTCTGAAAATCATGCCCTTTAACTTGTTCTCAGTGTGGACACTCAAAACCGAGGCACCCAAAGACCTTTGTTACCTTTGAAAATTAAGAGCTCAAACTCGCTCTGTTCCACAGTTGTGCAGTGAGCGCGATAAAACTTCCTTTCTCTCACCTAAGTCGACCTTGCCTATTGAGATGGTCAACATTTTGGGGCGGGGACTGTCTCTGACCATGTGTCTTACGGTGCCTAGCACAATGAGACATTGATCTTGCTAGTGTCCCCTAGGTACTGCCGTGGTATCAACAAACAATAACGTGGAGCTTCCATAAATAACATTTCACATTACAATCTGTAAAATATGGTAAATAAATCTTATCCCCTTTTAAAAATTATTTATTACTTCATACCAACCAGTCACATGCTGCTTGGACACTTCTTCCGCCAGTGGATGCCAGTGCTTTTTGTCTGAGGAGGGGGAGGTAAAGAATATTCCATTGTTAGTATTAACGGGTAGACAGAAAATGGATAGTAACATCTGCTGCTTGAACTGGACTCTGCAGCCATCAGAAACCCTGGTAACTGTGGTTCTGGATTTGCAGACACAGGCAATAACTAAAGGCCAGAGTCTGAAGTCCTAACTCCCATTGAATAATGCATTCCCCTATGAATGCTCCAATTTAACTCAATGAGACTATTTGTGGAGTAAAGCACAGGTAGATTAAGGCAATCCAGGTCCATAGACACCCCACCCACTGCGCCATGTCCTGTTCAAGGTGGTAGTGGCAAGGGCCTTCCAAACATGGGCAGTCTGCTCAGCTGATGCAGGTCCAGCCACTGCTTCCAGGCTGAAGTTTTGCTCCTTCCTACCCACTACTTCCTCTGGTCAGGTGAGCTGGATTCCTACAAGAGAAGAGAGAACTCAGCTCCTCTGAGCAGTGGTACCATTGCTCGGCTTGAATGAGGGCTTGAATGAGACTCTGGTCTTAGCTAACCTGAGCGGCACAGTTAATGTCAACTGTGGCACCAAGAACAGTCAATGGGGCAGAGAGCGGTGGAGTAGCTTTCTCTGCAAGGCAGCAAGGTTAGAGCACGGGCAGAGACGTGCCCTGCTGAGACCGTCTAAACCCAGTCACAGTGTTGAATGCCAGATCTTCCAATTTTATCGTCAGCCTTGTGATAGTTAATGTCATACTTGATGCCCCGGCTTCTGGAGACGCGCGATTTTGTGAGAATCTCAGTTTTCATTTTAAGAAAAGCGTTTCTAGTGCTCATGGTTGCACAGAAAAGTTTGAAAAAGTGACCCGAGCACACCCCAAAGGCTTAAAAACTAGGAGTCAAACAAAAAGAACTCCAAACTTATTTTTTTAAAAACTCATAATTGTTTTTAGCCAATCTTGTGACTTTCTGGGATCTGACTCATGATTTTGGAAGGTGAGGGGTTGGCAACATGGCATTCACATATTGCCTCATTGCAAGCATACCCTGCTTAGGAGGTATATTCTCTCTTCAGGCTTTCATTGTGAAAGGGCTGCAGTGTTTTATTTACAAACACAGGGAATATGGTTTCCCACTGCTTACAAAAATGTCTTCCTGCTCCCTGCTCAATCTCTTAGCTGCCCCATGGCGCTTTACATGTCATATCAGCACCATTTGTAAGCAGGACTTATCTAAATGTGAACATACATGGAATCTGGATCTATTCTAAATGCACCTTATTACAGACTCAATAAAATTAAATGTTGCTTGATCAGTTTACAAAAGACAGCGTGCAGTGTCTGTTTTCTTTCTCTTTCACTTGGTGTGCTTCATTATAGATAAGCCCCTTTGTTTCAGATCCATTGCTAACAGGATTTTAAAATGACCTACTTATTGGCCTTTTGATCAGCATGAAAATCAAAGTGGATGGATATGAAAATACAGTCATCTCATTCAGCTTTAAGAGGAGCAGAGAAAAGCAACCACCACCAGGGGGCACAAAGCAAATATTTTCAGCCTGGCATAACCTATGGAAAAACTGCTAAATGTGTGCAGCTCCTGTTAAATTGATCACGTTCCTGTCCTGATTTTTCCCTTTTAAGTGCATAAATATTCCCTGTTATTCTAACAAAGAATAAATAAAAATGTACCAGGAAAATACCGGAGGAAATCAATACGCTGCAATTTAATGTTGGATAGCACCTGTTTATCCAAAAATGTTTTCCCAAATATCGATATAATGCACTGAAAAGCAGCTATACCTGGGGTGGTCAATTAGTCTACAGAACTCATTGCTCCAGTACGTCAATGAGGTCAAGAACTCATTAGGATTCAAAAAAGGATTAGATGTTTATATGAACATAATTGTGTATATTAAAACATGAAGAATAACTTTGGAAAGGATAGAAACCTCATGTTTCAGGGCATAAGCTGACCTCTCATAATTGGCGGTCAGGAGGAAACTTCCCCGGGGAGCAGGTTATCTCATAACTCCTACTGCAGGGTGTCTTTCTCTGAAGCAACTGGTTCCGCCCCACTGTTGGAGACAGGATACTAGACTGAGGCTACGTCTTCACTACCCGCCTGAATCGGCGGGTAGAAATCGATCTCTCGGGGATCGAATTATCGCGTCTCGTCGGGACGGGACAATCGATCCCCGAATCAACGCTTGTACTCCACCGGCGCAGGTAGGAGTAAGTGCCGTCGACGGGGGAGCCGCGGAGGTCGATTTGCCGCCGTCCTCACAGCGGGGTAAGTTGGCTCGGATACGTCGAATTCAGCTATGCTATTCGCGTAGCTGAATTTGCGTATCTTAAATCGACCCCCACCCCTTCCCCCCGTAGTGAGAACGTAGCCCTAGATACACCATTTGTCTGATCCAGTCTGGCATGTGCTGCACAGCACACAGCCTGCTTTACAACATCATGGGGAAGGAGAAAGTTTGATGCAAGGCACTGGGACAAAACCACGGCTCTTACAAAAAGCGCTGTGTGCAGCAGAGACTGCCTCAATTTCTAAGGATGCCTCCAAAATGCCATATCATGGGACCCTATATAACGGTCTCATCAGGAGAAAGGGGACTGAACGGATCCCGCTGAAAGGTGAACCCCACTGGTTCCAGCAGGGAATCTATATACTTGAAATTCAGGGCTTTGAAGCCTTGAACAATCACTCATATATGTACAGTGGCATCTTTCCCAGGATCAAGCAGCAGAAGCATTCAGCTACATGTACAGCTTCTGTGAAGGTAACAATTCTGCTTGCTGCCCTCACCTCTTCAGCAGGTCCAGGAACACGGGGCTGGGACCAACACAGGAAGTGGCTGGTTTTATTTGCCAGCTGTTAAACTGGTCTAAGCGGCTGCCTTCGTACTCTTCTATGGAGAGGATAATCTGTCTCAGAACTCTATGCAGTAAAAATTTGCCTCATGACAGGAAAAGCTCTATTCAGCTGCTAGCTGATACCCTCAAACTTGTTAAATATTATGTTACGGCTTATTGTAAAGTGAAGACTTCCTGACATCGTTAAGCTGACCGCTGACAGTGCATGTAGGCCGAGCTGATAGAATCGATAAGAATATCTTGCATTATTATCTTCTGAGAGAATGTACAGTTGGGTTGGAGGACATACTGGTTTGAAATGAGTGCAAAGGGCCTGGAGTCAGCACTTCTGGGAGGGAATTAGTCTAGTGTTTAGAGCAGGGAAATGGAGTCCGTGCTCTCCAGCATTGTACTCTTAGTTCTGCCAATGGCTCCCTGTGAAGATTTGCTATGCCTCAGTTTCCCTATCTATCCTTAGTTAAGGTTTTTGAAAGCACACGGCTATCCGTGCAGGAATAGCGCTGCACAAGTGCCAAGTCTTCCTAATACACTAGCACGGACATGCATGAATGAGAGAGACTCAAACCACCGAGTCGGCTACATTCCATCTATTCAGTTGCTTCTCCCCACAAATACGTGCTCTCATTTTGAGAAATTAAGAGGAAGGCAAAAGGTACTGACGCAGAAAGGCCAGTGTTGCAAATGTGTGATTATGAAAACACTTCCTACTCAATGTTTGTGCTGCCCTTATCTGCCAGCATTCCATTGCAATCAGTGGAACACTGGGACATTCCCAGCTCACGCCTCCTATTAGGACATAACATTGCATAGCGTCATTGTGTCCCTGGTGTGTTCTACCTAGATGCACTTTGTCTAGCATAGCTCTAAATGACTCACACAGTGAAGCTTCCATTGCTTTCTTTGGAAGACTATTGCACAGTTCGCTAAGCCCTGGGGATGCAGAGCCTGGGGGGTGCCAGTCTTCAGCTGGTGTAAACTGCTATATACCCATTAACTTCAATGGAGCTTTGCCCATTTATACCAGCTAAATTTCTGGCCCTAGAGTTTCCTTAGCTCTGTTTCTTCCACTCACTTCCAGTCAAACTGCCTCAGATCAACCAAACAACCCCTCTCCTCTCTCTCCTTGCTTGTTTACATTAGTGGTTCTCAACTAGGTGTACAAGTACCCCTGGGGGCACACAGAGGTCTTCAGGGGTACATCAGCTCATCTAGATATTGGCCTAGTTTTACAACAGGCTACATTAAAAGCTCACGCGAAGTCAGTACAGACTAAAATTTCATACAGACAATGACTTGTTTATACTGCTGTATATATACTATACACTGAAATGTAAGTACAATATTTATATTCCAATTGATTTATTTTATAATTCTCTGGTATGAATGAGAAAGTCAGCCATTGTTCAGTAACAGTGTGCTGTGACACTTTTTTGTATTTTTATGTTTGATTTTGTAAACAAGTAGTTTTTAAGTGAGGTGAAACTTGAGGTACGCAAGACAAATCAGACTCCCGAAAGGTGTACAGTTGTCTGAAAAGGTTAAGAACTACTGGTTTACACCCTTTAAAATGCTGTTGAAACTTCACTTTCCACACCATAGACCTGGTGCATCTAATGCATTTAAGTTCTATTGTATCCACAGCAGCAAATCTCCATTTACATTAAAAATTTACTTCCTGCAAAGCCCCACTTGCTTTGAAATGAGCCATTTCTCCAGTGCATAGTGTGGGCTGACAGGCTGGCTCATGCCCCTGATTTAGTCTCTCCAGACCCCAGAGCAGATAGTTCCAGGCATCATGCATTGTGTAGCAGGACATAGGGTGCTGCCACCCACCCCTCTTGCCTCATTCTCTACATGAACCTATGAATGTTTTCTTGGAACGAGTGGTACAATAAAGCTCTGTTAGAATAGACAGCAGCTCTCTCTCTGCTGCCTTTTGTACTCAAGGGACCCAGAAAGACGTTAGAAAAATGTTAGTCTGGGCTAAACGCACCCTTGTTGACGAGCAACTTCAGAAGATAAATGCCTTTTTCCCCCTCCCACCCCTCCAGTTCTGTCAGGGAGCATCCCCCCGCCCCCACTTCCACCCCCGCAGCCCAGTTTACTTTTCAGTACAAGGAAGGAAATTGCATAAGGTAAATTTTTGTC